CTCAGTCACATCCCTCCGGCCTGCTAGGCCCTGGACAGGGCACCCCTGCCTTTCCCTGTCCATTTCAGCTGGCCTCATTTAGGTCAGCAGTGTCTTCAAAAAGAAATTCCCTTAGTTTTGACGGTGAGTGAGTTACCTTCCCTCTGCCTCAACCGCACCTTTCCTATGAGGAAGGGTGTGACTGGCTTCCAAGGGGTGGGCACCAACGGACCTTCTAACCCCAGTCTCTGCCTTCTCATTTGGCACACCTGAGGGTCGCATGGAGGCCATCATCTCCTGAGAGCCCGATGCCAGGAAGAAGGTGCTTAGTCCCTGGAGAGCAGAGATATGATGAGAAACAAAGATCTTGACTTTAGCACGGCCAGCATGGCTCAGTGGTTGAGTGTCAACCTATGAACCAGGAGGTCATGGTTCGATTCCTGGCCAAGGGTTGTGGGCTCAATCCCTAGTGTGGGGCATGCAGGGGGCAGCCAATCAATGATTCCCTCTTATCATTGATGTTTCTATCTCTCTCCCTTTCCCTTCTTCTCTGAAATCAATAAAAATATATATTTTTAAAGATCTTGATTTTGAAAAACATCCCCCTTTCAATAAAATTTCACCTAAAGTTAATAGGGAAAATAAACCCGTTGTTGAAGAGTGACTCTTTAAAATGTCTTTACAAACATACATTTTCTGTTGTTAAAATGCAAAGGCAGTCCTGCAGTTGGCCAAATACTGAATTCACAGATCAGCAAAATGGTGATTAAATGTTTTTATGCAAGTACTGTACCTGTTATTCCGCCAACATGTGTAATACATAATCCCATTCTAAATCACGGTAAGATTGATCATCAAGTAAACAGGCAAATGTTCTGTGTTTTGGAGTCAGCCTATCTCCATGTGTGAGGGTTTGATTGAAATGGGAACCCTGAGTTATATAAAGAAAAGAAACTAGTGCTTTACTGTCAACATAGTCATCAACATTTGTCTGTCTCCTCTCTTCTTATTTTTGGATGTTTTGATGGTATTTGAGGTTTTGGAGAATGTGAGGCCAGGCTGAAATGCTTAGCTGTGCTCACACAACATTCGCCCTGACCCTGCGTCCACCTCTTTCTCTTCCTCTGCACCCAAAGGCCTAGAACTATTTTAAGAATTTGCCAACACATATTTCTATTGACTCACCATTTCTGTACTCACGTACACACACCTTCAGAAGTCCTTGTTCACAACCCTGACCCTCAACACACTCAGCCCTTGAGCTCACATGTATTCTCCCATACAACTATGCCCTCACACACAAACCTGGCCTCAAACATACACACTGACCCCCCCACACACACACACACATACACACACTCACAGAAACATGAGGAAAGAAAATGCCAAACAGAGTAAACGTTCCAGATGACTGAATTTGACGCTGTAAGATGCCAAGACATTGTTCTCATTTTTAAGCATTTGTTAGGGAAACCTTTCTAAAATATACTGTATAATTTCCTGTTTTCTTAAGCTGCCTTAAATATATCCAAGGAATTTTGGGCCAGGCCCTCTCTGTCAGTGATGGCACATTAGCATGTGAGGCTGGAGAAGACCACAGCGAGGTTTCACCTCACAATTGTCAGAATGGCTGCAAGAAATCAACAACTAGCAAGTGATGGGATTGTAAGTTGGTGCAGCCACTACGGAAAACAATATGTAGATTCCTCAAAAAATTAAAACTGGAATATGACCTAGCAATTCCACTTCTGGGTATTTATCTGAAGAAACTCAAAATACTAATTTGGAATGATATATGTACCCCTATATTCACTGCAACATATTTACAATAGTCAAGAATTGGAAGAAAGCTAATTAGTGGACAATTGGATAAAGAAGATATGGTACAATATGCAATGGAATATTACTCGGCCGTAGAAAAATAAAAAGCATGAAATCTTGCCATTTGTGACAGCATAGATGAACCTAGAGGGTATTATGCTAAGTGAAATAAGTCAGACAAATACTATATGATCTCACTTATATGTGGATTCTAAAAACAAAACAAACAAACTCATAGATGTAGAGAACATTTTGGTGGTTGTTAGATCGGAGGGGTTTAGAAGGATAAGTGAAAAAAGTGAGAGGATTAAGAAACACAAATTACCAGTTATAAAAGTCACTGGAATGTAAGGTACTACATAGGGAATCTATACTAAAAAAGCTGAGGTGCCCCTTGCACCCTCGCATGATGTCCTCACATCATCACAAGATGGCCGCCCCCACATTGTCACAAGATGGCAGGCAGGGAAGGGAAGTTGTGGGCAATCAGGCCAGCAGGGAAGGGCAATTGGGGGCAATCAGGTCATCAGGGGAGGGCAGTTGGGAGGGACCAGGCCTGCAAGGGAGGACATTTGGGGCGGGGTGATCAAGCCTACAGGGGAGGGCAGTTGGCAAACAGGCTGGCAGGGGAGAAGTTAGGCATTAATCAGACTGGCAGGGGAGTGGTTAGGGGGTGATCAGGCTGGCTGGCAGAAACTGTTATGAGCAATCAGGAAGGCAGGCAGGCGAGCAGTTGGGAGCCAGCTGTCCTGGATTGTGAAAGGGATGTCTGAGATTGGAGAGGGTGCAGACTGGGCTGAGGGACACCCCGCTCTCCCCCCCCCCCCCCCCCGCCCCGCCCCATGCATGAATTTTGTGCACTGGGCCTCTAGTATTGTAATAATTATGTATGCTGTGAGATGGTTACTAGACTTATTGGGTGAACATTTCATAACTAATATAAATGTTTAACCACTATTATACACCTAAAACTAATATAATATTACAGGTCAGCTATAATTGAAATTTCTTATTTTTTAAAAAAGAAGCTGAAGTTGTTTTACTTTGTCCTACCCAAGGCTTCCTCAACTTACCTGACCTGGGAAATGGCCTCTTGGCCAGCAGACAACTTCCCTTGGGCAGTTCTTGCCAGAACCAGGCTCTGAGTGAGGACAGCTGCACAGGGAGTTGGAACCAGGAGAGGGGCACCCCTTCCTCTCCACTCTGTCCTTCGCCTGGGCCACGTGTGGGGGCCCAACCCAGTCCCAATGGGAATCAAAGGACAGAGAAGCAGCGAGGGAGGCAGGGCTGCTCTGTGAGTGCCCAGGGCTGTCTCTAGGATCTCAACAAACATCGATTTCTCTCCTTCAATGTTGGACAGTTTTGAGAAGATAAACTAGTTGGAGGCCAGGAGACCCACCATCGGGAAGCTGCTGCACATAAGAGATCAGGTCCTGCCCAGTGGGTCTGGAAGATGAATGGGCCTGGATTTGGGCATCTGAGCAGCGGAAGGACAGCTCTCTGCCTGGGAGAGTCCAAAGTTTGCATTTGAGTTCCTCCAACATAGGTCATTAGAGACATGTCCCCTAGGATTCCATTCCACTTCCTTCCCAGCAGTCTCTTGTGTTACAGTTAGCATTTGCTTCAAATATCTGTAAGGGACTGCACAGCCCCTGGAGAGTGGTTCCTGCCACTTATTCTTATGGACTCGATGCTTGCTTCTGAACCGGGAGTGATTTGAGTTTTTTGGAAATCAGACCACATTGGCCTTTTCTGGACAAAATCAGCATTTAGATAATTCCTGTTGACGGAGGAGAGCCGCGCATGTGGAGGAAACGGAGAAGACTGGCATGGCAAGGCTTGTGAGGGGTGTGGGAGCTCCAGAGGGCATCACCCGGTAACACAGAGGTGGGAGCTGAGCTCCCTGAGGTGTGCCTTGCACCACGTGGTTTCTACTAGGCAGAGGCTGAACTGACTGCAGCCCTTACCGGCCAGTCTCTGTTTGGCCTGGTTCCTCGGATAGCACAGGCAGCTTCCCTCTGAGCCCACCCACTTCAGGCCCAGAGGATGTGGGGTTTTCTTTTCCATTAGGAAATTATCAATTAATTTGATTAGCTGGTCAGAGGAGTCTCAGATGTAACCGTTGTCCCTTTAAAAATCCACTTGGCAGTTTTAACCTCTTGGGCATTTAACTGTTATTTGTAGCCTTGCATTTATTTCCTAAACAAATGAACCTTGTGGCATTTCCTCAGGAAATGTTACATCTAAAAATAGCATTAAACTTTAAAAAAAAAAAAAAAAAAAAAAAAAAAAAGCTAAACTAAAAGCATTCTATCTTTACATAAAAGCATGTGGTACTAAAAATGTAAAGGGGAATCGGTACCAGTGATACAGTTTTCAGAATGACTGAAAGGGCACACTTCTGTGATTTTTTGACGAAGGAGCCCCAATGGTTTCTATTCAAAATTTTAAAACATCACCGAAACCGGTTTGGTTCAGTGGTAGAGCGTCGGTCTGCAGACTGAAAGGTCCCAGGCTCGATTCCCGTCAGGGGCATGTACATTGGTTGCGGCCACATCCCCAGAAGGGGGTGTGCAGGAGGCAGCTGGTCTATGTTTCTCTCTCATCGACGTTTCTAGCTCTCTATCTCTCTCCCTTCCTCTCTGTAAAAAATCAATAAAACATATTTTTAAAAAATTTTAAAACACCATCAATACAATTTAAATGTGTTTGCTGTGGATGCACTTATTTCTAAGCATACAATGGTATGTGGACCAACTCTGCTCTCCCCACAGGCCCCTCCATTCCAGGTGCAGACCCAGGTGTGCCAGGCAGGGGTGGGGGCGGGGGTGGGGCTACAGGAGAGGAAGACGCCCCTGAGAAATTTCACATGCTCCACGAAAGATCCTAAGATGTAGCATTTAATGTGCATATTTCGGAATTTGATGGGATGGAACTTATCCCAAATTTAAACTTGATTGAGTGTTATTTAGGGCCACCCTCTGAGGCAGAGGTCTCCCGTCTACCTAATGCAGCTGTGGGCACTTCCTTGGTCCTACTGCTGAGTGACAGCGCAAAGGACAAGCGGGTGGTCCCCAACAGGAACTCGCACTGTGCTGAGGACTCACCTAGTTCACAAATATAACTCAGGGACCCTAGTGCCAGCCTGTGAAAGTGTCTTTCTTGGTATTTAACATTCCCGATCCTCTCTTTCGTTTCAGGATCTGGAATCCCTCGACACCTACATCCAGAACACGCTCTCTGACCTCTACCCACCGTTTGAGGCCACGGCGGCCACGGTGCTCTGGCAGGTGTTCAGCGTGGCCGAGAGGCTCCACGGAGGTGATGGGCTGCGCTGCCTCACTGACTTCCTCATCCCTGCCACGAGGGCCCTGCAGCACCTGCAGCAGGAAGCCTGTGTGAGTACCGCCCTCAGGGGACAGTGCCTGTGGGAGACCCTCCCCTCAGGGGACAGAGCCTGTGTGAGACCCTCCCCTCAAGGGACAGAGCCTGTGTGAGACCCTCCCCTCAGGGGACAGAGCCTGTGTGAGACCCTCCCCTCAGGGGACAGAGCCTGTGTGAGACCCTCCTCACTCTCAGGGGACAGAGCCTGTGTGAGACCTCCTCACTCTCAGGGGACAGAGCCTGTGTGAGGACCTGCCTTCTGGTGTGAGGACTTCCCTGCAGAAGGAATCCAGTGTGAAGACCTTTCCTGCAGGGAACACCTTAACTGTTCTTTAACTTGGAGAAGATTTAGGCAAAGATAGCTGGTACCTAGAAAATATTTAAGCTGAGGAAGTGGAATTTCAAAACCAGGGAAACATGCCATTGATGGAGGGAAACATGCCCTCTCCCTCACCTCCATCAATGGCATGTTGATTTAAGCCAGAAATTAAAACCAACATAATTCAAGTGAGCATTTGTTGTTTTATTTCCAAAAGAACGCTGTGAGATCATGAAAAAACAACACTGTATTGTAACCTCAGCCATGTTCTTACAGAGTTTAAACACATACGTGGAGAGATCTTCCCGTTCCCCTCTATTTGATGGGTCCATCCGGTACTGCTCACCTCCTTCTTTCATCTCTGGCTCCTCCTTTTCCTTGTCCCGAATGATGGGTGAAATAAGACTGTGTCCCAGGAGCCAGGCTTCTGCAGACATCCACTCTGGCCCCCCGAAATGAACTTTCACTTGAGCACAGGAAGTAAGTCACTCTCTGGAGTAATCATCTCAGAGCCAACTATTGGAGCAGTTCCAATACATACAAATAAACTCTGTTTAATTAATGTCTTATATGTTTAGTTTATTTCTTGGGATATTTTTATCCTAGATATATTTTCGAGGCAGTGCTAAAGTTAATGACAGCCAAATTGTGGGTATATTGCAGTGAGCTACTGTAAAGATTATGGCTGAATCTTAAAAAAGATATATCTTTATCAGTACCTTTTATTACTCGTTGATATTGAATTACAGCTTTAAAAAAAATACCATTTGGGCTACTTTGATTTATTAAATTCTTTGAATACCTTCTAGCTAGAATGAGTATGGTAGAGAAATAACCAAGGATACCCTAGGTTTGATTCTTTATCTGGTAGTCTACCCAGAGGATATTTTCCTTAGTGATTATGTACCTTTTGCACATTGATATGGGGCAGCAGTAGAGCATGGTGCCTCTCAGGAGTGGTGAACAGGAGCACAGAGAAACAATCTGCTGTAAGTCAGATCTGAAAATACCTGTCCCCTTTTTAAGGAGTGTCTTGACTTGAAAAGTTTCTCTGACCTCATGTTTTGCTTTCTTCTCGTTTGTGTTTTCTTTCATTTTAACCATGCCATCCCTTCTCACTTACAAAATTGCCTATTTTATGGGGAAAAAAAGTCATGTGAATATTACTCTTTAATATGAATGAATATTTGTAAGTGTTTAATAAGTATAAAATGAAATTTAGAGACAACCTTACTATTCGCATATTTCTGTTGCTATTGCTTTTTACTTAAAAAAAATTTTCTTACTGATTTCAGAGAGAAGGGGAGAAAGAATCATTAAATAGCTGCCTATTGAATGCTCCACACTGGGGATCAAGCACACAACCCGGGCATGTGCCCTGACTGGGAATCAAGCTATGACCTCCTGGTTTATAGGTTGATGTTCCACTACTGAGCTACCTGGCCAGGAGCTTTTTACTTTTTAATAAAGAACATAAAATTTGATCTTTATGACATAGGAGAAAGTGAATGTATCCTAACCACTATAAATGTATTTTAGTTAATATAAATTCAATGCAGTTTTTATTCATTTACTCACTATTGTCAGATTATGTGGCTTGGGAATAATTTTTAATCATATTAACTTTAAGATAAGTTGTTTAAAACTAATATTTCAATGACCACCGTTCTTCTCTAGATAGAAGAAATGCTTAAAATCTCTCATTGGCTTATGTATAATTTTGTTTCACCACAGTTTGGATCAGAGAATGTCTGGAGAAATTTAAAGAAAAGAAATTGGAAAAGATATAAATATAGGATGTTTCTACTAAGAGGGGAAAGCAGTAGGAGGGAGTGAAATAAAGAAAATGAAATAGTATAGGTAGAAATCAAAAAGGAGGGAGTAAGCAAAATAAAGATATGGGAAATAAAAGGCATAACTTACATAACAGGTTGAAAGTAAAGTTATTAAAAATGGTAGACCAGAAAATTCTAACCAAACAATAACTCATATAGCAATATTCATAACTACATATAGTAAAAGGCAAATGCATTGTTAGGGCTAAAGAGATTCATTCAGAATTAGTACTAGTCACAACCAGGAATACATAAAAATCCGTAAACACTTGACAACATAGAATGAAAATGTTTGAAGCATAAATTGAGCAAATTATTATACAATTTCATAATTCATAATGAAACATCATAATGGAATAGTTCACCTCTCTCTAGAGCAAATAGGATAAGAAAACTATACATAAGTTATACACTTGAACACGTATCTCTCTTCCACGAATGGGTACACATAGAGTGCTGAACCCAATAATTTTTGTAAAATATATTTTTATTGATTTTCTCTTTTAGAGAGAGAGGAAAGCAGAGGGAGAGAGATAGAAACATCAATGAGAGAGAAACATCAGCTGGTTGCCTCCTGCATGCTCTCTACTAAGGATTGAGCCCACAACTTGGCAGGTGCCCTGACCAGGAATAGAACGGGTAACCTCTTGGTGCCTGGGTTGATGTTCAACCACTGAGCCACACCGGCCAGGCCTGAACCCAATAATTTTAGAGTAAGCATTCTTCCCCAGACAACCTATAGATTCAGGAAGCTCATTAAATGAAGAACAGGATTTAAAAAAAAAATGGATTCATTGTAAATTAAACTGCTTAAAACCAATCATAAGGCGAAAATCTTAAAACCTGACAGAGAAAAGGGGCAAATCACATATATCCAGCCAGCAGCAATAAGAATGAAGAGTGACTTTTTATCAGAAGCATTGGATCTCAATAGACAATGGAAAAACATCTTCAAATGTTGAAACAAGAAAAAATAAACCTAAGTTTTTATATCCAGTGAAAATATCTTTCAAACATGAAAATAAAATAATGGCACTTTCAGATGAATAAAAGTGTACTAGCAGAGGTGCAATGCAAGAAATGTTGAAAGGGTCTTCAAGCTGAAGGGAATTGATACCAAGTAGAAGCTCAGATCTACAGTAAGAAATGAGCACAAACAAGACTAATATATGAGTAAGTGCAAATTTATCTTAAAAATTATTGACTGCTTAGAGTAATGTATTGTGAGATCTATAATGTAGAAATAAAATAAATGACAACAAAAGCACAAAGTTTGGGAGTATAAACAGACTGTGTGACTCCATTTCTGTAAGCTTCAGATGCATGCATAACAAGTGTTTAGGAGTCAACATGTGGTAAACACAAAGAAAAGGAGGGGACTAGTCGTGAAATTTGGGGAAGTGCTTGCCTCTGAGTGGTCACCGGCATGCAGGAGACATCAGAGATGATGGCGACATTCTTTTCCTTAAACTGCTGTCTCGTGATATTTTATATCTTCTGTAATGTAAGCGTGCTTTTGTGTCTCTTCATGTTTAATTTTAAAACTTTTAAACAATGTCTTACTGCTAAAAACAAATAACTTTCTCACAAAGATGGGGAAATGCCTGCCTCTCCCACAAGGCCTAGGAGTCGTAGCTCCCACAGGACGGGTCTGTGGGTCACCCTCCTTTCTGACAGGGTCTTGGGAGCCCTGTGCGGTGTGGGAGGTTCTCACTGGACTGGAGACTGATGGGAGACCTTGTGGCTGGAGCACTGAACATCACAGGCGTGACTGGCTCCTCCCCCTGGCCGGGCAGCCCAGCTCCTGCTCCCAGGGGGCCTGTTTCCTCTGCCTCTGTCTTGGAGCTTCCTGCCTATGGCCTGTTGGGTGGTGGGAGCAAACCCAGGATTTGGACAGTTGAGTTGAATTCATACCAGGAGGGGAATCGGCAGGACTGGGGCATGAGGGTTGCACAGTCATGGGTCACCAAGGAGAGTCTACCTCGACCCTGCTCAGCCCCTCCAGAAAGGAGTCACCTCAGTTGGCCTTGGACCCTCTGATTCTGGAACTTTCTGTCATGAAGATCATTCCTGGGGCCCAAAACACTGACCTCAGCTGCACACCTTTAGGCCACACCTCAGGCTGAATTTCTCTCTCTGATGGCCACTGGGTTCTTCACTGCCAGGCTGGAGATCTCTCCATTGCTGACTGAAAGGCCAGGCAGTGTCCTGTGTCTTCATGTCCAGCGTGGGGAGGTCACTGGTCACTCAGCAAGGCGCAGGCCCACATCTGCGGCCACTCACACTAGTGGTCACTGACTCGCCCCAGGGGACTGGGGGTAACCATACTCTCTGACCTGCTCTGAGGCCTCAGATCCCACAGGAGCATCTGAAATCTGGGCTGGGCTCTGAGCCCAGAGATGTTTGGTGTTTTTATCTGTCAGAGCAAAGTTCGGGGGAGCCGGGACCCAGCAGGGCAGTGATCCGTGTGAAGAATTTCTAGCAGCTCAGGAAATGCTGAAGAAATCATGTTACATGTGAAATCAAGATGCACAGCGGTACTTGTGATGTCATCTCAACCATTAAAAATGCACAGAAAAAGTAACGCAGTGACACACATAAATGTCCACAATGCTGACCTGGGGGTTGGTCTTGGGATTCTTTTTATTCTTTTCTTCTTTTTTTTCTTTTTTCCTGGATTCTCCAGTTTGCAATGCACAGTATTTTTTTTTTCAATCTGAAAATCTTAATTGTTAATTCAATGTGGCCACAGGTGTGAGGGTGCTTGGCAGGTGCCCAGTAAAGACCAGCGTCACCTGCACCAGAGGCGCCCTGCGCTGCCCTCCTCGCAGGCTGTGCCCTCCGCTCCTCGTCCAGACTGCCTGCTCCTCCTTTCTGTGTAACGTGCACACGCACAGAGAGCCCACAAGTCAGCAGGCACATAACTCATGAGACCTTCACGCTTAAGAGCACACTGGTACGTCTGAGATACAATTTTCAAAGTCAACTCTAGATATATGAAATATTAAATATCTTTTAAACCTGAACCCTTAGAAAAACTAAAGAAAGTAAATGTGAAAGGCAGATTTTGGTAAGATACTTAGTTTTAAATTTTAAGGCAATAGAAGATATCACCACAAAACTCAAGAAGTGAAACTTACATAGACTTTAAGCTTCTATAGAGAGGAAAAGAACTTTATACTATGAAGCAAATGAACTGGGAGGATGTTCAGCAGTAGATAGATTACAGAAACATTTGCTATTGGTGAAAGTAGAAAATTGTTAAAATTTTTTAAACAAGACAATTGGAGCAAAAATACATATAGGATATTGACAGGAAACAAACATCAAAAAAGTGTTTACTTCACTGTCACACATATGTGAATTAAAACAACAGTATTCCACAGTATATACACTAATGTAGAGAATGATTTCTTTCTTTAAAAAATTTTTTTGTTGTTGATTTTAAAGAAGAAGGGAGAGAGAAATAGATAGAAACATCAATGATGAGAGAGAATCATTGATTGGTTGCCTCCTGCATGCCTGTCACTTGGGTTCGAGCCTGCAACCTGGACATGTGCCCTGACCAGGAATCGAAACGTTCATAGATCAGTGCTCAACCACTGAGCCATACCTGCCAGGCTAGAGAATGATCTCTAATTGCAGAGCCTCGTGCTGATGGCAAACCTGTTCAGTGCCGCTGCTAACAGTGTGTCTCCTTTGAGGGCAAATTGGCCAAAGTGGGAAGAGTCATACAAGATGTTCATAACCTTTGCTCCTATAATCCTAATCCCAGAAATGTATCCTAGAACAATCATTTAAAGGAAAAAGGCACTGTATCGTGACATTGTTCTTTGCATTTATTGTTTAAATAGAAAAAGAAGCATTGTAGATTTACGAAAATAGGAACAGTTAAGTAGCCATCAAGATGGTAACTGAGAGTGACACAGAAATGTTTGCTACGGTGACTGCAGATAAGAATGTCAAATTACACCTACGATATTGTTATGGTTTAGGAAAGTTATTTCCTATATAGATAAGGGTAAAGAAACGTTTAACATCTTTTGGGATCTATGGGGTTGAGATTTTTCTTTTTCTTTTTTTTAAAATATATTTTATTGATTTTTTTACAGAGAGGAAGGGAGAGTTAGAGAGAGAGAGAGAGTTAGAAACATCGATGAGAGAGAAACATCGACCAGCTGCCTCCTGCACACCCCCTACTGGGGATGTGCCCGCAACCAAGGTACATGCTCTTGACAGGAATCGAACCCGGGACCTTCAGTCTACAGGCTGATGCTCTATCCACTGAGCTAAACTGGTTTTGGCTCTTTTCTCTATTGTAATAACAACGTGTGTGTGGTAAGGCAGTGCTGGGATGGGGAAAAGTAAGTTGCAAAGCACAATACAGTACTTTGGAACTAAACCCCTCCTGTGGAATGTGGTTTCACGTTAGAACGTGTACCTGCAGCTTCTGACAAGTTAGGGCCCCACCCCTTGTTCCCTAACTGCTGGACACTCCCATGCCCATGCAGACGCAGCCCGTGTTTGACTGTGTCTCGTCCATCCGGAAGTTGAAACCTTTTCTAGATCAAGTTCTTTTCAAGAGTGCTTAAGAACTCTCCTGGTAACCGATAGCTTGCTATAGATTTCATTGACTCCTTAATAAGTAGGAACCTCCCATTCTATTATGTGGGAGTTTGTGGCCGATATTGGTGTCCTGCTCAGGTCCCACATTTTCTCACTGTGTCTCACACCCTGTCATTCTAGAGGCCATGCTCTTTTTTTTTTTGGTGGGGGGGGGGAGAGGTTGGGGAGTGAGGATGTGTAAATCCAAGTAGGGACCACCCTGAGGAGTCACTTCCTGCAGGGTCCCCAGGGCTTGGCTGCGTGAGACTGTGCTTGGGGTGGCTTCCTTCCTCCTGTCCTGTTGCCTCCCTCCCCCAGGCTCCCAGAAGGAGCTGTAAAAAGCGAGGTTTTGCTGAAACCGGTTTGACTCAGTGGATAGAGCATCGACCTGTGGACTGAAAGGTCCCGGGTTTGATTCCGGTCAAGAGCATGTACCTTGGTTGCGGGCACATCCCCTGTAGGGGGTGTGCAAGAGCAGCTGATCGATGTTTCTAGCTTTCTATCCCTCTCTCTTCCTTTCTGTAAAAACTCAATAAAATATATTTTTTTAAAAATAAAAAATAAAGTGAGTTTTTGACTGGCTTCACTGAATCAAAAAGAACCCCCCTGTTTTCAGCCCCAATGATTTGTTTGGTGTTCTGAGGTGCAAGGGGGCGGTGGTCACTCTCCCTGCTGAATGGAGACCAGGGTCCTGACAGGTTCCATGCCACTAACCTCCCTCCCGTTCTTGCCCCAGGCCAGGTACACAGGGCATGTGTTCTTCCACGAAGGCTGGCCGCTGTGCGTCCACGGGAAGGTGGTGGTGCAGCTGGCATCCCTGCGCGGAGTGAGGCTCAGGCCCGGCGACTTCTACCTGCAGGTCGCACCGGCGGGGACGCAGTCCGCCAGACTGGTCTTAAAATGCCTCTCCCGGCTGGGACGAGGCTCCGAGGAAGTTGCTGTGCCTGAGGCCACGTACGGCTGTGTCTTCACAGGAGAGTTCCTGGACCGGGTGAACAGGGAACGCAACAGCGTCCTCTTGAAAAACTGCTTGCTGACCTCAGGCTCTGCTGTCTACCGCACCCCATGGAGCAACGTCACAGCCCCTGTGTTTGTACCCATCGGCGGAAGAGTCCTGCCCCACTGCCCCAGCCGTCCTGGGCCTGAGCGGCCACCCAGCTGTGCCTCCGAGGCCCCGGCGCCGGCCATGGCCAGCGACACTCGGACCCTGCCCCACGGCGGGGGGCCCGAGGACAGTGACCGGCCTGGCCACCTTCCTTCTCTGAGAAGAGCTGAGTGCGAAAGCCCCAGGAGCTCTGACATCGGCCCATGGGAGCCCCGTGCAAGCCCTGAAGGACCAGGAGGGAGACTGGACCCCGTGGACAAGCAGGATGGCCCCCAGGCCCTCACCTCCCCCGAGGATGCAGGCAGCCTGAGCTCCAGCAGGCGGCCGCCTGGGGCCCCTGCCACCACCGTGGAGGCCAGACGCTGGTTCAGGAATTCCTACATGGAGGCCCTTCAGAACCCCATGCCCCTGGGCTCCAGCTCCGAGGAGGAGTCCCTCGTGGATGATGCCTGTGGCACCCGGAGCAAGAGGGCCGGGCCGGCGTCCACCCAGCCCCAGAAAGAAACCCCCGGCCCCCAGGGAGAACGCCAGGGGATCCGGAGACGACAGAGCTGTCCGAGCGCCGCTGGAAGGACCCTTCCCAGGAGGTCTCAGTCCTGGGACCGATCCCTCAGGAGCTCCCGAGGTGATGCCCCCCATTCGGCCAGCGCCGAACCCCGAGGTCACCTAGGAGGACAGGCTGTGGGGACCAGAGACTTGGGCTCCAGCCACCCCTCTGGCTGCACCAAAGAGGAAGGTAAACTCTTCTCCCCTCCCCCACTGTCCCCTTTCTCCCTGCTTTCCTCCCCTCCCCTCTGGTGCCCTATCCCATGTCGTTCGGTCACTTGGTTTAGTAGAAGCCTGTCTCCGTATCCATAGTGACTGTTGAAAATAATGCTCACAGGTGTTCCTTTCCTGGGGCTGCTACACCAAGTACCATAAACGTGCTGACTCAGGATACAGAAACTCATCCTTCCACCGTCTGGAGGCCAAAGGTCTGGCTTCACAGACCCACAGGCTCTAAGCGAGGGTGCTTTCTGCTTTTTCCTCTGCTGGGGTCCAGGCATTCCTGGGCTTGTGGGCACACGCCTGTCCCTTCCCCCTGTCTGTCTGTCCATGCCACAAACGACCTTCTCCTTTCTCATATGAAGACACTTGTCATTGGATTTAGGACCCACCCTGAACTCTATGTATTCACATCTGCAAGACCCTCTTCCAAAGAAGGTCACATTCCCAGGTCTGGGAGGGGACGCATGCTTTTGAGGTCACCGTACACCCCAACATTGCATTAATACTTGTCCGTGTAGGTAAATCAGGCGTAATGTTCATTTTTTTTTAATGCCACCAGGTCGATGTCTTTATGCTCTTTAATTACACTCACTGGAGGCCCTCAGTAAGTTTCTGAGCATCCAGTTCCTGGAGTACTTTTCCTTAGGCTCGAGTCTAGAGGGAAAATAATTATATAGAGTGAGTGAGTGAGGTGCATAAAGAAAGATAAGGAAAGAATGGCAACATATTTCCTAAGTCAAATATTTCAGCTATTTTCTTTATTTATTAATTTTTGTATAATGTTCTGTGAAGAACAAAAACAATGACTTTGGAAAGAAGCAAAAAAATATATATAAACATGCCGTAGACCTCAGCAAGTTCAGTGCTAGCCGCCCATACAATAAATACAGTAGTGGGTATAGCGAGGGTCACAGACATCTGACGACAAACATGCTGTCACACAATCACGAAGGCGGCAGGTTTAGTTTAAACAACCCAGCACAGCCGGGCAGAAACGGGGCCAGTTGACTCCTGGGTGTAGAGTAGCACATCTAAGAAGATTCACAGCCTCATGATCAGACATGTGGTATTCTCAAATACAGTCATTTCTCTCGGGCCTAGTAGGCGTCGTCTACTCACTATCCAGAGACTCCTTGGAGAGAAAAGGCTCTCATGAATGTAATATCTTCTCCCCTTGTCCATGTGAGAAAGCTTGGCGTTCGATGCAGAATTGGTCTTACCCTTGGCCAATGATGTGTCCTAGAATATGTAAGCATACATGAAAAATTCACTCTCAAGGACACTGTGCTATTGGAGTCCTTCAGCTAGTGGAGGGATAGACAAAATTTGTCCATCAAGCAGTGGAGTGAGACCCACATGGGAAAGAATGAGGCTGTGGGACAGGCAACATCATTGCCGAACCTCACAAACACTTCTGCTAACTGAGAGCAGCCAGGTAAGAGACCACATCGTGTTTGGTCCCATTTATATGAAAGGTCCAGAACAGGTAGATGTACAGACAGAAGGTGGACAGGTGGGGGCCTGGAGCTGCAGTGGGAGAGGAGGTTTATCATAAATGGGCATTTTTCAAGGGACGAGAACATTCTAAAACATTTATGATGATGGTTGCACACTTGGTAAAGTGTCTCTGAATTGTACACACGTGAAGTGGATGAACTTTATGATATGTAAAATATATCTCAGCAAAGCTTTTTTAAAATACTGCATGTACGAAGGAATGCTGTGGACTTCTCAGGCCCAGCTGTAATGAGCAAGCTGTGCACAGTTACCCGATGTTAGCCCTGAAGGAAGTGATGGACGAGGCTTAGGGACCAGAAAGCAAAGCCTGTGTTACACAACATCCAGCATAAAATGCTTCTCCCTGAGGTCCTCAGGCAGTGAGCACTCCCGGTGGAACTGAAATACTTAACTGCACATGTTTCCTTACGCCCCGCTTCTCAGGGGCACACCTGTCCCAGACGGTGTGGTATGCCTCTGTTTCTGCCAGAAATGGGGCAAGTTCTCATGAAAACCCGCTGTTTCCACTCTCGTTTTTATCCTCACGTTTGTAGCAAGCTGAGCGTCCACCCTTCAAGCCAGAGCAGTTCTTCATCTGTGACCAGGTCTCTTTGTTGTCCAGCCGGTGTCCACACAGGTGACCGCAGCCTCCGAGGACAGGACCCCCGCAGGTGTCCTGACCTGCTCGCTGAGCTGCTGTGTTCCGAGGGTGAGGGACAGCCCCCCGGCACGGGAGACCTGCCCAGCCAGGTGCCCCGGCAGGTGCTGGAGATCAGCCCGGAGCTGCTGCAGTCTGGGGCCGTCACCCTCCCAGGTGAGCACGGCTGCCTTACTCCGTTTGGGCTGCGATAACAAATGCCACAGACCAGGTAGCTTATAAAAACAGAAATGTATTTCATACAGTTCTGGAGGCTGAAAGTCAAAGATCAAAGTTCCAACATCAGGTTCTGGTGCAGGACCTCTTCCTGGTTCATGGTCAGGGTCTTTTCACGCTATCCTCACGTGGTGGGAGGGCCAGGGAGCTGTGTGGGGTCTCTTATAAGAGCACTAATCCCACTCACGAGGGCCCCAACCTCATCATGGAAGCACCTCCTAAAGGCCCACTTCCTAACACCATCAAATCAGGCTTTAGGATTGGAGCGTATGGATCTGGGGGAACATGAACATCCAGATGATAACAGTGGCCATCACTCTCTCAGGTGCACATGGCCTTCACCTGCCCAGGTGGGGGCCAGGCTCTCCTCTCCTGGCTGATCTCACATCTAAGCCAATAACAGTTTGCAGACCCGAGCTCATTATTTCTCAAGCCTGAAGACATGTGTGCCCCCACAGGGGCTGGGTGCCCCCTTTCACAATGCCCTCTATTCCTGCAGGGACCCGGGACCGCCAGGGGAGAGCGGTAGTGCAGGTCTGCACAAGAGGCCCACTCTGGTCCAGCCAACACGTGTCCAGTGCCGAGCTGACCCGCCTGCTGAAGTACCTCCACGGCATCCCCAGGTGGGACTGAGCGGGATTTCCACCTTTCACACCCCTTTGGGGATAAACCCACGCAAGTGTGCCTCCTCATGCAAGGGTTTTGGTCTGTCGCCTCCGGGACCCTTGTGACCTGGATAGCACACTCCCACCTGCCCCTCAGTCTCCTGCTGTCTGGCTCCTCTCTTCGCCACCCCATCTTCCATCTTCCTCCACCCCTCCCTGACACATCATCCCCTCTGCTCACCCTGCCCTCTGCCCTCTGAACTGAGGCTCTGTCACACACTCAAGCCCTGAATTCTGTGTCGCTCTGCATTCTTCAGCATTGCTTACTTACATGTTTTATACTCCACCTTTTTCTAAAACATACTTGAAGTGGCCTTGGATAGAGATATGAAGATAATATTTAGAATAAATGAGTGAAGCAATCATTCACATAAGTAGACCCTGGCACTAGGAAGGAGGAAAGAACGACTTATCTAAGGGAGCCTTGTGTTCAGCGGGCAGTGCCAAAGGCCAGAAAGAAGTGTGCCAGCTCCTCAAGAGAGACACACGCTCCTGGCAGTACTCTCAGAGGGCCAGGCCTCCTGAGTCCTTCGGAAGGTCGCGGTGTGGAGCAGTCTGCCTGGAGAGCAGCCTGTTGGAGGCCTTCTCCGGGGCGGTGATTTCAGGTCTGTCCATGGACCAAGGACAGAGATGGTAGAGCTAGAACTCAGGGTGGTTAAAGTGCGTTATTTAGGCCCTGCTTCCCCGATTTCATCAGATGCCAACACACTTTGGATAGTCCTCACGGCTGCCAGGCCACGCATCTTCCCCCCGCCCCCCACGGTGCCGGGCGGAAGCACCCCCGGAGGAGGATGGGCTCAGTCATAAAGGCACACGGCCCGTCTCCAAATCCTGGCTGAGAGTAAAGCAGGATGGTGACAGCTGCCCCAGAGGCCTGTCAGAAGCTTAGAAATAATCTCTCTGAAGTACCTGGACTGAATCCAGAGTATCGTCTTCCACCACCTCACATCCCAGCAGTCACATAGCACACATCATGCCATGTGATCGCATATGAGAGCATGTCATGTGATACACATGTGAGCTTGTGTGGGCACATGTTATGTGGACGGCCATGTAATGTGAGAACATGTTCCATGATGCACTATCACAACACATGATGTGAGCACATCTCATGTTCTTTGCAGTGTATCGCTTTCTATTTTAATTTCTTAAACAGCATAGGTAGGATCAGTGTGGGAACATTAAGGTGGAAAAAAGAAGTAAAATATTCTCCCTAACACTCCTTGCACGGAGCAGGTTCCCCGTTATCTGCAGGGCACTAGTTTCACTGCCTTTCGGGCAAGACTGGGATTTCAAATTGTCCTTTAGCACAGATTTCAATATATATTGAAACTACACTGAAAAAAGAGAATAGTTTTCCTCTCACCTTAGTTTATTCCTTGTAAGCTTCAGGTAAACACTGTCAATGCCTTCAGGAAATGATGCTTTCTGTTAACGGAAGCTTCTTTAACGGGAGCCGCAGTGGAGAGCTATGCGTTTTGGGAGTGCCCGCCCTGCAGAATCCTTAGCCTCGCAAAGCTGGCGGGCGGTGCTGTGTTCTCCGTTTGTAATGAAGCATTTGTGAGTTGAGGCCAAGGGTACTTATGGGGTCAACAGGGCCAGAACGTGAACCTGGAAACTGAGTTTGCCTGCCTTGCCTCCGAAAATTCAGGCAGCCCACGTCTCCTCATCAGAGAAGGCATTTCCACCAGCTCACAGCGCTCTGAGAGAGAGCCTCTGTTAGGGAACAGTCCTAAAGTACCAGGACAAACTTGTTCTGGGGCCCCTGGTTTGGCTGGTTATTTCCCTATAAGTGTTGTAATTTTGTTAGCATCTCAGTTGAGTATTACCCCTTGAGAAGCCGAAATCCACTCACCATCCTGGGACATGGCACCTGCCTTCAGCTCTCTGAATGAGGTACCAGAGGTGTCAGCATTGTTAGGAAAAGCACCCAGCAGTATCCTGTTACTGCAGGTGTGTTCCAAGGAGCATTTGTTCAGAGGGTGTGCCTTATAAATGCACCACCATCAGACTCTTAGATACACAGAAATCTTAATATTAGGAAGAATGTTGGTTGTCATTCATCTGACCCATGCAATGAAGGAAGCCATCCAGCCAGCCACACTTACCTGGAAATACAAAAGAGAATAGAAGATGGTTCCTGCCTTCAAGGAGACACACACAGGAGCCTAATTTACCGCAGCTCCCTGCATAAGACAAGTCCTGGGAAGGAGCTGCATTCCAGCAAGGGAGGAGGCTTCTCCACGTGCTGTGTCCCCGAGGAGGGTGAGTGTAGATAAGGAAGAGGACGATTATCTAGGTAAAATAAAGAGCACACACAGCCCCAGGGCAGTCAGTCACCTTCTGGTGGCACTGAGCGAGGCAGGAGAGTGAGGACCAGAGACAGTGCAAAGGGGAAAGGTCCCCCTGGGCCAGAAGAGCATGCTGACCTCAACGTGCAGTGGCAGGAGAAGCCGGAGCAATGGTGGGAAGGCAGTTCTGAGACTTCAGCAGCTCCCCTTGCCTGGAGATGCAGATGGACATGAGGCCTGTTGCCTGCTTCCAACTGATGAGCAGCTTGATTTCATGGAAGGCAGAGGGTGATGTGTGTAAAGTCAACACTTTTGAGTTCTAAAGTCGGGGGGATCTGGGTGAGAAAGTCTCACTGAGAGATGGAGAAACACACCTAGGAAGAGACTTAACCTGCAGTGGTTAACACCATCTGTCTTTCTCTCTCCAGGAAGGAGGTGCGGGACCTGGGGCTGGTCATCCTGGTGGACACACGCAGGAGTCCGGCTGTCCCTGCCCTCTCCCAGGCCCTGGCAGCTCTGCAGGTGAGTTGGGGTCACTCCCATCCTCGGTGCCCAAGTGTCTCAGGGCTGAGTGTGCTATGGGCACAGAGCCCTCTTGGAAGGAGTGTCAGGCCCGTCCCCTGGTCCTGACTGCAAACCTTGACAGCAGAACGAGCAGGATCAGCCTGTGCAGGCCTTGTGGTGTCATGTTCTGTCTCCACTGGAATGGCAGCGACCCCTTCCTCTCATAGTGCTGTATCTAACATCTGCTACATCAGGGTACAGACCAGACAGGATGGGGCATGGAGGGGTGGCTGCCACTCGCTGTGAGGATGAATGCCCTGGACCTTGGCGGTGCCTCTGGGATGGTTCACGAAGGTTGTCCAGCAGGTTTACGGTCCCCACCCCCAGAAAGACCCCACCCTGGTTCTGGTTTATGAATAGAATCCAGAGAGGATTGGGGAGTCCCTGAAACGGGGATAAAGGTACTGCGGGGATGTTCCAGGTACCCAGGGCTAGACAGGAACCAAAGAGCGTCAGCTCCCTCAGACGTACACAAGGCCCTTTGTGTGCCAAGCACTGTGCTGGGGACTGGGGTACCAGAGGTTCCTGGAATCTTCTCCACTGTCCTAGCTACTCCCTGAGCCAAAATCAGTGTCCTGTGTTCTGTCTCTACTCAACAGAACTGGCTGCTGTTCTCACCCAGTTTCTTAAGTTTAGCAATGCCACATGGAAGTTCTTCTCAGTAAAGACTCAGGGACAGAGGTCGGAGTGTAAGTGTTGGGGCCAGTGAGGCCAGGCTGGAGAGACCTGGGGAGACGATGGGAACCTCCAGGCTGGAGACACGTGGCCCAGAGCTGAGGCCAGGCAGCAGGATGGAAGATTAGCAGGAGCAGGGCATCTAGGTGTTGGTGCTGCTCCTGGCCTGACCCAGGAAGATTCTGGGAGGTGAAACAAGGCTGCTGGCCACCCAGCTTTTGTGAAAACATCTCGGAGCAAACCTGATGGGTGACGTCTGCATTTCAGAGCGATGTACGTGCTCAGTTTTAGCTTTCTGCAAAAAAGGTCCACATTGCATTCCTGAGAAGCCTGAGTTATCTCCTCTGACACAGCAACAGGTTTGACGTGCCAACATTCAATTTCCGTAAGACATTTCAGAAGCACATCATCTGTTTGCTCTTATTCCCTGTCAACCAGCTGTTGGGCTCAAAAGTCGGAATCCAGGATGTCATCCAGTTTTGTGTTCTTATTCTGCCCAAGACTGGGAAAATTCCTTCGAGATTCTGGCCTTCCGTATTTACATGCAATTTTATATAACAGTATAAAGACTGAGAAATTGCCAAGTAAAGTTTTTTAAGAAAATACGTAGATGATTGCTTTCCAGAAAGATTTTGAAGAAAGTTCTGTTTAAAGATGTAATGGAAATGTTGATGACCCTACGATGTCCTCTGAGTCCTTTGATTTTGCTAAAAGATTATTAATCTGAACTTACTGGTTGGTTGTAATCCAACTGGACAATAAAACATGTGTTAATAACTCAAATACATTTCCCTGAAGTTAGTGGTTGAATGCCTCAGGTAATAACATCAGGTCAACATCCATATTAATAGCAACTTGAGAGAAAAGCTATTTTGTTTTGCCTCCAAAACCAAACTAAAATGTCACTATTGATTAAATATTTTTGAAAAATGTAACCAGAAGTTTTGAGTAAAAATTCCTAGAAATCCTTTCATTTGCTTCATGTAGCTTGTTGGAGAAAGCTATATAATCATGAAAGACCTGTGAGAGCTATCAGACCCTCGTGCACTATGCTGAGGGAAGGAAGCCAATACTTGTGTGATCCCATTTATCTGATAACTTGGAAAGATATATTTATTGAGACAGGAAACAGAGCAGTGTTATCCAGGGGCCAAGGATCTTGACTACAAAGGAGCGTAAAGAAATTTGGAGGATGCTAAACTGTTCCTTATCTTCATAGTGGTAGTGGTTACATGACTATAAGTTATACCAAAACTTAGAGAACTGTCCACTAAAAAAGGTGAACTTTATTATATGTAAATTACAACCAGTAAACCTGAATACATTAAATAATTCATAAGGGCAACTACAGTAATTTACACTTAGAGCAAAGGCATTCTAAATATTTTGGCAAAATATCAAAGTGGAAATAGCACCAATCAAAATTGGACAATTCTATCAACTCAGTGAAGTTAAAAATTAGAATTAATTTTTATTTTCTAATTAATTAATTAATATTTTTACTTATTTCAGAACATATCTCCACCCATAATTCATAGTATTTTGCTGTTGGTTGATAAAGATTCAGCATTCAGGCCTGACAAGGATGCAGCAATTCAGGTAATGGTTTTAGACCCTCAGCATTACATCTGACTTTGAGTGATGCATAATGTTAAATATTAAGGCACCCAGATGAGATAAACATTTGAAAGAATTGATGTAAGTTTTGGTCTCAGCCACAAAGGAGCCTGGAGCCCTGTCTCTGGCCCTTCACTTCTTGCTGGAGCCGTGCAGAGCAGAGCATCAGAACACTTTCAAAATTGGATCTTCTCTACCGCAGGTGCTTTCTTTTCTTATCTTTCTTGCTTCTTTCTTTTTTATTTGAAAACTTCTTCGCTTGCTTTCTTGAAGGATATTTTCACTAGATATGGACTTTTGGCTTCATAGTAGTTTTTCTGTTTGTTTGTTTTTCTAGCATTTTAAAGATGTTATTCTTTTTTTTTTTTTTTCTGGCCTTCCTATTTGCTGATGAAAAGTACATGGTATTTCAGGTAATTGTTCACCTATTGGAAATGCCATTTTCCTCTGGCTATTTTCCCTCTTTTTTCTTCAGCAAATTGACTATAATGTGACTAAGTATGGTTTTCATTATATTTATCCCATTAGCTGTGGCTGAAATTTTATGTCTATCACCAAATTTAGATAGTTTTCAGTCATTATTTCTTGAAATTTTTTTTCTGCTTAATCAGGGCAATCCTCTCTTTCTGGGATTTCAATTGCACACACTGATGTCATCTCATAGGTCTCTGAGAATGTCTCTTTTTAGATGTTTTTTCTCTCTCTTCTTCAGATCAGATTGTTTCCACTGATCTATCTTAAAGATCACTGACTGCATATTCTCATCTCCAGTCAGCTAATAATCCCATCTAGTGAATTTTTAAATTCAAATATTGTGTTTTCCAGCTATAAAATTTCCAGTGGGTTTTTAAGTATAATCTCTGCTGAGATTTCCTATCCTCTTATTAATTGCAAGTGTTTTTCCTTTATAACTTTGAGCATAATTATAATAGTTGCTTTAAAGTGCTTGTCTAGTAATTTCAACATCTGGGTCTCCTCAGTGTTGGCCCCTGTTGATTTTCTTTTCCTTTGAGAATGAGTCACATGTTCCTGATTCTTCATGCGTCACGTAATTTTGGATGGTATTCTAGACATTGTGAACATTCTGTTGTAAAGACTCTAGATTAGGGGTGTCGAACTCAATCAGAGAAGGGGCCAAAATCTAAAATCCAGCCTAAATCGCGGGCCGAATGGTTTACTGAACAGTCATAAACTGTCATTGTGATGGAAACGCAGCGGAGTGCAGTGATGACAGCGCGGTGCGGGCCACATTGCGAGGCCTGGCGGGACGGATTTGGCCCGCGGGCCTTGTGTTTGACACATGTGCTCTAGATGCTGTTATAAACCTCCACACAGTGCTATTTTAGTGTGAATTTGACTTGTTTAGACCTAAGCTGAAAACCATCCCTTGCATAGATTCAGTTCAGATTTTGCCTTCAGTTGCTCAAAGTCCTCCCCGTGTACACATGGTTCTGGGTCAGAGTTCACAGACTTCTGGAGCTCCCTTTCCCCAGCTTTCTCCCTCGTGAGGATTGATCTTCACATCCCATCCCATCTTTGGGCCAGAAAGATGCCAGTTTTCTATCAGAGCTTCAGCCACTCCCGTCTCACCATTAGCAGCCTGCTTTCCCGCCAAAGCCATAAAAATGGATGCTCCCTCCATGCTAGTTCCTTCTTCCACTTTTCATTGCTCACAATAAGCCCGGCTTTGTTCCCCCTTCAGAGCTTTCAGACAGTTGTCATTGCACTTTGTCCAAAGTGTGTGGTTTTGTCTGCAAAGGGTCAACTCTGCCATGCCAGAAACAGCACAGCCCCACTTTCCTCCTCCTGCCTTTTCCCTTCTCCCCTTATCGTCTTGCCCTTGCTTCCTTCCCAGCCCTTTCCCCCCTCCCTTTTTTTTTTTTTTTTTTGTCTTTCCTTAAAGGGGACTTCATTTCTTTTTGCTACCTTCTCCTTTCTCTTCTTCCCTTCATTCCTGTATCCAACCACACACAGTCCGTTAATGCCACCAGCCAGGCAGCATAGTGGAACCCATCCACAGCAGTTTTCCCAGGAAGGAGCCACCAGTGGTGTTTCCCTCTCCCGGCAGTGCGAGGTGGTGGGCTCCCTGAAGGCCCTGCACAAGTTTGTCGACAGCTCCCAGCTGACTGCAGACCTCGAGGGCTCCTTCCCCTACAGCCACAGCGACTGGATCTGCTTCCGCCGGGTAAGGAGCCACAGTCACCAGGGGACTTCTCCTAATGGATGTTTCCACTCAAATCCGAAAGGGCCTCGCCACCCCTGGCCTCACCTTCCACAGTTGCCTTTGTAGTCTGTTTCTAACTACTGTGCTGCCCGGGCTTAAGAATGCCACTAAAATCCAGCCCTGGACCAGGAGGGTGCTGCTCCTGAGCTTCCGAGACAGCCAGGGGTCACTGGGTGACACCATGACAGGCTTACTACCTGGGTCAGTTTAAACGTGGGGACTCACAGCTGCTTGCTTCAGTGTCTGACGGAATGTGTCTTTTTTGTCTCATCCTCTCAAACCACAATAGAAACTGGAGCCCTTTGTCACCAACTGCCAGGACGCCATTGCTTTCTTACAAAATTTAGTTAGCTACCTGAATACCCACAGGACTCTACGCACGGCTCAGGTAGGTCCTTGGTGTTTTATTTTATTTTATTTTATTTTATTTTATTTTATTTTATTTTATTTTATTTTATTTTATAAGTAGAAACATAGGAGTTTAGCCAAAACTTGAAAGTTAATATTTGGCTGAAAACAATTTGGCTCAGTGGATAGAGTGTCGGCCTGCCAACTGAAAGGTCCTGGGTTTGATTCCAGTCAAGGGCATGTACATTGGTTGTGGGCACATCCCCGGTGGGGGCTGTGCAGGAGGCAGCTGGTTGATGTTTCTAGTTCTCCATCCCTCTCCTTTCCTCTCTGTGAAAAATCAATAAAATACATATTTAAAAAAAAAAAAAAGTTAATATTTGGTTTCACTGCCATCCATAGCAGAGATTCTCAAACCCTTTGGATTTGTAGATCCCTTTTGGTAGATCACTTCCTCCCCCTTATGACCAAAACAAGCCCACCCTGCCAAAAAGAGGAACAGCACCACCACATTTGATGCCATGCCAGCAAGGCATGAGTGAGTGCTGCTGGGAACAAACAGCTCAAACACATAGAGAAGGGCTGGCCGAGGGACCGTGACAACCTGGAGACCCCTTGTGGCTGCCTACGGTGTGCGTGCCTCCAGACACCAGGTTCTCCTATGCTGAGTTTCAGTTTCCCTCTGGCCCTGCCACCAGTCTCAGTCTCAGACTTCCCTCCCCCGGGTAAGAATTCTAGAATCTGCTATCCACCCTCCTGCTAGGACTGAGTGGTGGGTATGCCATCCAACTGTGCCTTCAGCTTGATTGCTCACATCTGATTCTTACCCAACGTTAGACCTGGGAGGACTGCCTGGAGGAGGGGGTTTTTACACACATTTCTCCCACCCCCGCAGGAGGTCACAGAGTTAATCAGTGAGCACAAGGCCATAATGAAACAAGTCCTGGAAGACGCACTGCTGGTCACCCTCCGCCTGGAAGGTGGGACTGTGCTAGCACGGCTAAGGAGGAAGGAGCAAGGAACCAGTGAAGACAGCCGGTGAGTGTCAGCGCTGGGGCATGTTGGGGTGAAGCACAGCATTCTGCCTCACAGAGAAAGCCCTCTCTGTCGGAGGCAGCATCCAAGGGGCCCAGACCGCCATTCCTCTGACAGACAGGCTTGACTGGCCCAGAGCGTGTCTCATTCGGGGACTCCAGGGAAAACTAGCTGAGTCCTTGGGATGCTCAGGGGGAAGACAAAACTCATTATAGTGGGATTCAGCAGCCAGAGGTCCTGACCCAGTGCTTCCTCCACCCACATGTCAGTCCCACCTTGAGGTGCCTGCATGGATGTGGCCAGCAGGTGTCACCGCTGCTCAGGCTCTGGGCCCCATCAGGGGCTTCCATGTGTCAGACGTGAAGGACATAAGAAGAGTGCAGTTGTGTGTTTTAAGTAGGTTGTCACCAACAGCATGTTCCTAAGAGGATGGCCTGTGAACAAACCAGTGATCAGGACGCGACACCAGACAGCTGCCTTCTCTTCCAGAGACAGCATTGAGGCTGCCTCCCGACTGTACAACCAAGTGGACGAAGAGGTGCACAGGCTGGTCCTCACCTCCAACAGGTGTCTCCAGGAGCTGGAGGGTCTGCGAGAACTGAGGGAACTCCAAGAGGAGCGTGACCAGGTCAGCCAGCATCGGAGAGGGAGGGGACCAGGTTAACCAGCATCTGGGAGGGAGGGGACCAGGTTAACCAGCATCTGGGAGGGAGGGGACCAGGTTAACCAGCATCTGGGAAGGAGGGGACCAGGTTAACCAGCATCTGGGAGGGAGGGGACCAGGTTAACCAGCATCTGGGAGGGAGGGGACCAGGTTAACCAGCATCTGGGAGGGAGGGGACCAGGTTAACCAGCATCTGGGAAGGAGAGGACCAGGTCAGCCAGCATCGGGGAGGGAGGTGACCAGGCCAGTGCTCCAGGAGGGAGGGGACCAGGTCAGCCAGCGTCAGCGCACACACAAAAGCCTGTGCTATGAGTGGCTGTGATCCCACTGTTTTCAGTAACAGACCTCTCTTCTCGGGTCCCTGGCATTGCTCGCCAGTGAGAACTGTGAATGGGAAAGAAGCATTTCCCTCTGACATGTTCCGTCTGAACCACGAGATATTGCCTCGGGATTTGTCTCTAAAACGGAAACCTGGACCTCATCACATTGTCAGGTGCAGGCAGGGCTGCCATCGGCCCCGCTGTCCCTCCCAGGCAGCCCCCGGCGTCCCAGCACCACCAGCCTGAAGCCTGTTTGTGGGGTATGTTTAACATAGTAAGAAGTTTCAACAGCGAAAGTTCTGGATCTGTTTTTCAGTGATCTCAGTTTCCAGTTCCAAACAGTGAAAATAGTTGTAGACTTGAGCCTTGGTTGTGGCCCTCCCTGGGATGTAGCTACTCACCTGTTGGAGTGAGATGCTGGGTTTGCGACAGGAGAAGGCGTGTCGGAACGCGGGAGCCAGCCCGGGGCGGCACCAAACGCCTCCTTTCTCCTCCCCAGTCTCGGAGCAGGACTCCTTCCCACGCGTGGAAGTAACATCTTCTTTTCCCGGGCAGATCCAAGCGTGGTTTGAACGAGAGCACGAGAAGTGGCTGAGCCCTTTGGAGCTGCTCCCTGTGGAGAACGTGAAGCTGCTGCCGACGGTGGGTGCAGCCCAGCTCCCAGACCCCACAGTAAGTGCCCCACTTGTGCCCATGGCTGAGTCCTTGGGCTCCGGCAGTGCTGTCAGGAAGGACAACAGCTGAAGGAAGAGAACAGAGGACACCGTGCAGGTCGTCGGCGGGGGGGCGGGGAGGAGGAGGGTATCTGAGCGCCTCGGCCAGCCAGGAGCGGACGGAGGGAGAGCTGGCCCAGTGGGCCCGCCACTCCCAGGTCTTCCTAGCGCTAAGAGACCCAGCGGAGTTCCACTCGGGGACCCACGCGTGCTGGATCCTTTACTCCTCGGACATTTAGTGAGTGCTGTCCCCTGCTGGTCTGGGTGGGCGAGGCACTGGGACAGCTGGCCAGCGCTCCTGTCAGACCACGCCCCTGGTTCCTGTGAGGAGTTAACATAATGGTCCACTCTGGCCAAATGGACATGTGGACTCCTCTGCTTGTTTACTGGCTGAGTTATAAAGTCCACTTACTGCCAAGGACCCCAAAATAATCGCCACAGAACAGCACACACCTGTGACCTCACAGCACCCTAGAATTGCCCAGCCATGGGGGACCCGGGGCTACAGCCCCCGGAGCACAGCTCCTCTTGACAGAATCCGAGGGGACAGGGGAGGCCAGCACAGGCATGGCAGAGGCAGGGGTTCGGGACCCACACCAGGCAGAGATGTGGAATCAATCAATAATTGATTTCGCCGACATCCCCTGGTCCTGGAGCACCGTCATGGTGCCCTGGGGGCTGAGGAGGACTTGTGTGCCCCTTGGGTGAGTCCAGGTGGCAGCTGCCCCCGTGGGCAGAGGGCTGTTCCTCTCGCTCTGGCTGTCTGGCTCACCCTGCTCCTCCGTGTGGGTGCCTGGATAGCAGAACAATATTGGGTGGGGCCTGCGGAGCCATCGGGCTGTGAGAGTCTGTCGCTGTACTGACCTGCACCCTCCTTTGCTACACAGGCGAACAGGAGGATGCTGCACAGCAGTGAGTGCCTGCAGCCCCTGGGCCCAGAGCTGGCGGCCGAGTATCTAAAGAGCTGCCCCCAGGATGCCAAGGCGGTGCTGGGCCTGGGCGGCCAGCAGGCGCTGGAGCAGTGGCACGCCTTGTGGCTGCGGTGCCAGCAGATGCACCTCTGCCCCCAAAAAGCCCTTTTTGAGGCCGCCTCAGGCCCCAGTGCTCCACCTCCAGACCAGGAACTCTTGAAGCCTGAGCTCATTCAAGGGGCAGAGATGAGGCTCCGTGAGCCATCCTGGACCCCCCTCGCTGCCCCTCAGGGCTGCGCTGGGGAGCGGGCACGACTGCTGCCCGGCCTCCCTGGACAAGTCTCTTTCTGCGGGCAGGATGGCGAGCACCTGGACTCAGGTGTGCGTGCCCCAGACGACAGCTCCACCTGCCCCTCTGAGCCCATCCAGATCCCCGTCGTCCATCACAGGAGACATCCCCTGAAGAAAATGATGAAGAAAACACTCAGCTCGGAGGCTCCACCACTTGACAGCAGCCCCAGAGATTCCCACTGGCCAGCCCACACTGGGGTCTGCGACAGAGGCCTGGAGGTGGCCTCAGAGAAGAAGCCCCCACTGAGGCCACACACCAGAAGCCCCCTGGTCACTCGGACCCGGAGCCTGTCCTCTCCCTCCAGGATCCACGCCTCCGAGGAGGACAGGAGGAGGCCCGCAGGAAGGTGAGGTGGATGCCCCTGCAGACATGGGGCCTCGTGGTCAGTGGGGATCTGGAAACGCAAAGCCGTTACATTCGCTCTGCAAGATAGATATCCCCCCAGGCTGCCCTGACCTGTCCAGGCCAGGCAGACTTGTGTTGACCTTAAGCAAGATGTTGATTACCTCCAGTGCTCGGAACAGAATCGTTGAAAATGCCTTCTTCTTCATGGCATGTGGTGACCTGGCACACCCACTTTATTTTATTTTTTAAAAAATAAATTTTATTGATTTTTTTACAGAGAGGAAGGGAGAGAGATAGAGAGTCAGAAACATCGATGAGAAAGAAACATCGATCAGCTGCCTCCTGCACTTACTGGGGATGTGCCTGCAACCAAGGTACATGATCTTGACCGGAATCGAACCTGGGACCCTTCAGTCCGCAGGCTGACACTCCATCCACTGAGCCAAACCGGTTTCGGCTGGCACACCCACTTTAATGGTTAAACAGCCAAGTCTAGTTACTCGGAGCCCATTTATAGAAAATTACAATAAGCAAATCAAGCCCACAACACGAAGAAATTACCTTAAAAAGTGCTTTTTAAAAAGCCTCTAAGTGCCCCAGTCAGAAGTATGTATGTATTGCCCAAATGAAGATAGATGTCCATTTTAACGTGTTAATCTTTGAGATGTTTGTAAAATGATACTTTTCGTTAACTGTTTAGGTAAAGTGGCAGGAATTCGCCATTAGAGGTATTAGAATTAAGTAATTTAAGAGAGTTGACAATAGGATGCTCTAATGTAGGGAGAAAAGCAGTGTGCCTTGCTATTAGGGGGTGTGGCCAGGCCACCACAGGCCTCTTCTGGTTTCCCTGATGAAGGGCCTTTGCTGCAGCTGATTGGTGACACGTAAGTGCTAGCACGCCACACAGAAGGAGCCCCAGGAGCCCTGGGCTGGGTGGGAGGAGATATCTCCCCCCCCCCCCCCCACACACACACACACTTTGTCTCCTCACTGTCCTGGGCCCCAGGCCCTGCTATGGTATCTTCTGCTCCAGCTGCTTCTCCTCAGCCCCTGGATGGGACGTCACTACAGTTTAAAGCTGTTTTGTTTTTCAGAAATCTCTTCTGATAGGTTAGCAGTCGGGGCACATCAGAACCTCATTTTCTCACAAATCTCCAGCTCAGCCTTCCTGCACAGGGCTCGCTGCTGGGGGTCAAGTCTTCTTATTGCTGGAACCACACCCCAGTCCCCACCGCCCAAGCAGGCACTAATCAGGCTGCCTGGAAACGAGAACACGTAGGACTCACTCAGGGAGCCTGCGAGTCTCCCCTTTTCCATTTCCTAAAGCAGTGGTCGGCAAACTCATTAGTCAACGGAGCCAAATATCAACAGTACAACGATTGAGATGTCTTTTGAAAGTCAAATTTTTTTAAACTTAAACTGTATAGGTAGGTGCATTGTTATTAACTTAATTAGGTTTACTGCTAAGCTGGCCTTGGCTAAAAACTCAAGGGGCCAAAGAGCCACAGTTTGCCGACCTCTGTCCTAAAGGATTTTCATTTGAAAAGGCCGTTACCAATAGCATAGGAACACACACCTCTCCCCTGTACCTCTTACCTTTCTTCATTCTCCGTCAGGGGAGCAGCTCCTGGGAGCCAGGCGTGATGCGGGCGTGGGGCCCACTTAACCTTACTCACAGCCAAAGACAGAAAACTTTGGAAGATGCTGAGCCGTGCATCTGCCGTGCGTGCACCCACGTGCGTCCCTCAGCATCCTGCCCGCTCTCTGTGTCTTCCAGCAGCCGCCTGCAGCACATAATGGCCGAGATGATCTCCACGGAGAGGGAGTATGTTAGGTCCTTAGGATATGTCGTCGACAACTATTTTCCAGAGATGGAAAGGGCGGACCTGCCGCCCGACCTGCGAGGGAAGCGCGGCATCATCTTTGGGAACTTGGAGAAGCTCTACGACTTCCACCAGCGGCACTTTCTCTCGGAGCTGGAGCGCTGCCGGCACTGCCCCTTGGCCGCGGGCCGAGGGTTCCTGAGACACGTAAGTGTGTTCCCCCTCCCCCCGGTGGTGGGCAGCCAGTGCTCGCCCTCGGATCAGCGGGATCTGGAGTGCCCACCCTTGTTCCAGGCCATCGGGAGCCTGCAGTCCAGGCTTAGAACATGTGTCCCCCGCAGCACACTGAGACCCATCGATGCACAGGCACCCAGAGCAGACCATAAGCCTGTCAGTCCGACAGCACAGACACGATACTCACAGGTCCCCTGCCAGCACCCTTGTTGAAAGCCACACGGTGCTGGGGGCTTCGTCTGCATCGGCCCACTTAATTCTATCCACAGCCCCACTTCCTCACCTAATCAGCCGAAAGGAACTCCCAAAAATCAGTTTGCTTCCTGCATGGAGAAGCCCACGGTCCCTTCACACCCTCCTGCCTAGGGTCCACCCAGCTCCCCTTCCGGACGGGCCCCAGGACCAGCCTGCCCAGTCCTGAGAGCATCTGGTCGGGTGCACAGATCACCTGCGGAGAGCTGCCCTTTCTTTGTGTATTAGGTCTCTTCTTCTAAGAGAAGAAGAGACCATGAATATGGAGGAGCTCCCTGTTGGGGTCCCTGATAAAATAATTACTTGGCCCTGAAAAGAAGATTCTTTCAACAAGTAGCTGCGAGGCACAGGTGTAGGCCCTGGGCAGACGGCACGTGTGCCTTGGTGGTGTTAGATCTCAGTGACCACCAGAAACACCAGGATGACAGAAAGTCCACAGTATGTCTTTTCAGCTGTTTTTGAAAGGGCACGTTTAGCCATAAGGTGCAACTTGTGTAATGTTTAAAATTTGTAAGAATTTTAAATGTTTGAACAACATTGGTTCTTGACCATTATCAAAAACTTCAGCACGCCCATGCTCCTCCCTGCCCACCCTGTGAGTGCTCCTCACGCCTCTTCCCCCGAACTCTGTATTAAGACCCACCCAGGACTCTGGCATTGCCCCCAAGAGCACCCACCATGCAGGGGAGGCTGAGGTGGCCCCAATGTGGCACCTTTTCTCATGACCGTGTTAAGAATGTGCTGCAGGCTGGGGCCACGGCCCAGGCTCTGGCCAGAGCCCCGCTCATGTGCATCATCCCTCCTCTTTGCAGGAAGAACAGTTTGGCATGTACGCGCTCTACAGCAAGAACAAGCCCCAGTCGGATACCCTGCTCTGCAGCCACGGTCTCACCTTCTTCAAGGTCATCCCCCAGCCCGCCAGCCTGCTGCACCACCCCTGGCCTGGCCCAAACTGACCCTGTCCCCCGGCCCTTGCAGGACAAGCAGCAGGCGCTGGGCGACAAGATGGACCTGGCCTCCTACCTGCTGAAGCCTGTGCAGCGCATGGGCAAGTACGCCCTGCTGCTGCAGGACCTGGTCAAGGAAGCCGGGCGCTGCCCCGCCCACGAGCAGGAGCTGGCGGAGCTGAAGGCCGCAGAGGACATGGTCCGCTTCCAGCTGCGCCACGGCAACGATCTGCTGGCCCTGGATGCCGTTCGCCGCTGCCACGTGCGTGCCCCGAGGCCCCAACAGGCTCTGGTGGTTCGGGGCTCTGGGTTGATCAAGGGGAAGGTCATGCCTGGAGTCAGGAGCACAGAACTTTTCTTTAGGGATGTCCCTGAAGCTTAGATCCCCCCACCCATGCGACACCCCTCTTCCCCCCCCACCCCCCCAGCTGCCAAGAAAGAGCGGGAAGTGGAGAGGAGCTCAGGGTCCAGTTTTGGAGCAGCAGCTGTAGGGTGTGAGATCAGGTGGGCTCCAAGGGCTGCACACTGTAGGCACCAGGGCTATTTGAAAACACCTGGATGCATGAAAGTTGAGTTGGGCCACTGGGCTTGAGGCCTGGCCTGGCCATGTGTGGGCTGGTCTCTACTAGGGAGCTGAGGCCCAGCATCCACATCCCCACACCTTGGCGTGGCAGGACCACCTTGGCAGGAAAGGAGACTCCCAGTGAGGCAGGATTCCTTGTCTCTGGTGGTCAGATGGACAGCTGTAGAATTTCCAGATGACAGTGAAAATACGGGCACCTTGCTAAGAGCAACATTCTAACCTGTGGACACAGACAATAGTGCGGTGAAGGCCTGGGTAGAGGGTGGGATTGGGAAGTAGGAGTCAATTGGGAGGAAGGGGGACATCTGTAATACTTTTTAACAAGAAAGATAATTTTTTTTTTTTTTGATTTCAGAGAGGAAGAGAGAGGAAGAGAGAGATAGAAACATCATTGATGCCGAAGCCAGTTTGGCTCAGTGGTAGAGCGTCGGTCTGCGGACTGAAGGGTCCCAGGTTCGATTCTGGTCAAGGGCATGTACATTAGTTGCGGGCACATCCCCGGTGGGGGGTGTGCAGGAGGCAACTGGTCGATGTTTCTCTCTCATTGACGTTTCTAGCTCTCTATCTCTCTCCCTTCCTCTCTGTAAAAAATCAATAAAATATATTTTAAAAAAAGAAAGAAAAAAAAGAAACATCATTGATGAGAGAATCATTGATCAGCTGCCTCCTGCACGCCCCACACTAGGGATTGAGCCCGCAACCCTGGGCATATGTCCTTGACCGTAATTGAACCCAGGACCCTTTAGTCTGCAGGCTGACACTCTATCCACTGGGCCAAACCAGCCAGGGCAAGAAAGATAATGATTTTACAAAGGAGTTTCAAGAGGACAACAGAGCAACAAACCACAGGATCATCACCAAGATCTTCAAACTCTCCCAGTGCGCTCGGCTGAGCAAATGGGATGACTAGGATCCATGCAGCATCCTCAGGCATCACCCAGGACAGGGCCATACACGGAGGGAAAGTCACAGGAGAGACATCACTGTGTTGTCTGTCACTGGGATCCATCCACAAAAAGTGCTAGCCTAGCTGGGGCACAGCAGGTACACCCCCGAGTATCAGCTCAGAGGGATTTCCATGGTGTGGGACAGCTCAGGTGTGGTAACTCCTGGGGCCACCAGGTTGGGCATTTATACACAATGAATGAGACTCCGGCGCTTCAACAAGGGGTTTTTTGTTAACATGAACAAAAGGGCTGCCCTGGACAGTGTGGCTCCGTTGGTTGAGCCAATGCATGCATCATGGGGTTTGCAGTTCAGTTCCCGGTTAGGGCACATGCTTGGGTTGAGGGCGTAATGCCCGGGTTGAGGGCTCCATAACTAGTAGCAGGTGTGCAGGAAGCAGCCAATTGATGTTTCTCTCTTACATCAATGTTTCTCTCCCTCTCTAACATCAGTGGAAACATTATTTTTTTTAATGAAGAAAAGGGCTTTGAAGTGAAAAGTTGAGTAAAATTGAAGGCAGGGGCTTGTACTGTGACATCCATGCATATGAACATGAATGTGGGCACGAGGGGACCCAACCGGGAGGCTTCTGCATCCAGTTTCAATGTGCGGTTTCTCCCACACATCCAAGCAATTTTTGGAACCAGCTGGGTATCCTGTAATTCAACGCACTTCTGAAACCACCTACCCTTCGATGACGTAGACCCACAGGCTCAGACCAAGAGACTCCTTCCCACTTCATATGCCGATCACAAGTCCAGGCTGTCACCTGTTCTTCTCTGACCAACCAGCGATAGACTGGAGGGTCCCATGACCATTCCTGGGTCCCATTAATTTGCTACAACTAGCTCACAGAACTCAGGGAAATAGCTCCCTTCCTGGATCACCGGTTTATTATAAAGGGTACATTTCAGGAACAGCGAGACGGAAGAGATGCTCAGGGCAAGGCGTGGGGGGAGGGTGTGGAGCACCCCCTCGCCTTCATGTGCTCACAACAGGAAGCTCCACCCCCTGTCCTCACGGGGTTTTGTGGAGGCCTCCTTACATCGGGGTGACTGAGTGGATCTTTGGCCTTTAGCCCCCCACCCGCCTCCAGAGGTCAGCGTGGCCTCAGATCGAACCCAGTGGTCCCTGAGGGAGCCTTGCTTGCTCGGTCCGCAGGTGAATCTGAAGGAGCAGGGGCAACTGAGATGCCGGGATGAGTTCATCGTTTACTGCGGAAGAAAGAAGTACCTGAGGCATGTCTTCCTTTTCGAAGATCTCATCTTGTTCAGCAAGACCAGGAAGGTGGACGGAAGCTACGACATCTACACATACAAGCAGTCCTTCAAGGTAATGTGCCCGCCTTGTGCCTCATGCCACTGGCGTTGGGCTGGTCCCTGCTTGTCTTCACAGCACATGTTCTTTCCAATGGTTCTTGAGTGAATTTTGAAAACGTGTGACTCCCAAAGCTTTCAGGCTTTCTGGGCACTGGTTCAGTGGCTGGAGAACAGTGTCTTCTCAGTCTCTTCATTTTGGATTTTGATAAAAACAAACACCAGAGAAGCTCTCCCCTTGGTGGGTCTCAGGATGGCCCCCTTGCCCCTAAAGGAGGCCCTGAGAGTAAAGAGCTTTGGGGACTCCTGGGAGGAGCCCAAACCCATAACCCCTTACCTGCCTGACATGAGGAACACGGCAGAGGTGGGATGGTTGTGAGATCCCACCTGGTGTGTGACCGCCAAGACCTTCCAGTATTGTTCCCATTTCTCCAGTGGGGAAACTGAGGCCTCAAGAAAGAGCCAGTGTGGACGGGGTGAAAACGATCCGTCCTGTCCAGAGCTGGCCCCCACCCGGCCTTGGCCTCACCATTTGGTATCCTGGTGAAGAGGCCTTGGGGTCAAGTATCAGCCCAAAAGGGGTCAGTTGCTCCGAGGGCGTCTCTGAGGTTCCCTCCCACGCTGTGACTGCAGATGGCTGACATCGGCTTGACGGAGACCGTTGGGGACGGTGGTGTGAAATTTGAGATCTGGTTCCGCAGGCGACGGAAGTCCCAAGACTCCTACATTCTCCAGGCCAGCTCTCCGGAGGTCAAGACCATGTGGACCGATGTAATAGGGAAGATCCTGTGGCGGCAGGTTCTGAGGAACAGAGGTGGGCGAGGGGGCTTGAGAGAGTGGGAGAGGGTGGAGGGCGGGAGGCCTGCAGGCAGCACCATTTACCAGGAAAGGCCTGGACCCATCCCATCAGCACACAACACTTATTTCTCCTTAAAACAAATACAAATAATACCCTGCATTGTAGTTCCTCATAGTCAGGCTCCCCAACCCCTCAGGCCCATGGAGGTCAGCTGTCTACCCTGCCCGGCTTGTCAAGGCCTCCTGACTGGGTGCTGGGCTGATGGTCAACCTGTGGTCTCCCTGCTCATGAGGGCCCCTCTTCAATAGGCACCTTTTCCCTTCTGCTGGAATCCCCACCAGGTTTCTTCCTTCTCAATATCACCCCTTTGTTCCCTCTTCTGCGCTTATTTAGTCACTGGGGCACCTCTGTCTACACTCACAAGTAGCCATTCATGCAGTCTGGCCACTATAAGTGCCATCTTAATAGCGACCCCTTAACCTGGCCTTCCTGTGGCATCTTAGACCATGCATGCCTGAGGAACCCTACAGGCTCTATCATCTGAGGGGACAACCACCTGTCCCCTCATTAGCTGTATCATGCCCAGAGCCTTATCCTATCACAGAGATGCTCCCAAGGTCCCCACTGTCATCTCCTTCGAAGCATAGTTCACCCCTGCACACATGTGCACACATACATCCACCTACTCACGTGAGCATACAACATATGCTCACACTGCACAAGGCAGCTCTGCTCAGGGTGCCTAGTGGCTCCTCGATCCCCTCGGAGTGGATCCAGACCTTAAAGGAGCAGGAAGCCCATGCTAGGTCCCCTATCTCCTCTCCCCAGTCTCCTCTGCTCCTGCCATTCCCTCTACATCCTCCAACCAACTATAATTATCTTTCTTTTCTTTCTTTTTTAGTTTTACCAAGAAGTAATTCATTATTACACTCTTACCCTATGCGTAGGTCTCCTCTCAGTATTCAAAGACAAACATATATCTGTCAGTGTGTCCTTCTCGTGGCCATGTGCCTCCTGGAGGCCTCTGTCACCCCGTATTCTCTGGGAGAGGCCACGTGAGGCCGCTTGGCCGCCCAGCATCACTCTGGGGAGCCGGGTCTGAACTGAGGGTGTTGGGTACAGAACACCATCAAGGGTGGTATTAAACCCAAGGAGTTGCTTGGAGGAGTCTCCTACATTCTTCTATTTCAGAACTCAGAATGCAAGAAATCGTGCCTGTGGGCCTGGGCAGCACACCATTCCTGGACATCAAGCCCAGCGGTGCAGCCCTGAGTGACCAAGCTGCCGAGTACAACATGAATGGGACAGGTAAGGTGGTCCGAGCCCTCCCCACTCCGCCCTGCCAGCTGGAACCCAGGCCCCAGAGCGCCAGGGTGGCACTTAGCAGGGCGGCTGCTGCAGCCAGAAGATCTGGCCAGTCTTCCTGAGGGCCCTGACCGGTTCTGGCATCCAGTCTGCACTTCTGAAGCAGGGGCCGACAGCTTGCTTCCTGTCTCCTTCCAGAGTCAAGGGCCCATGTTTCCACAGCTGTGCCTGCCTGTAACCACCCCACGCCCTTCAAGAGACCGCACTCCACCATCTCAGACAGCAGCACCTCCTCCTCCAGCAGCCAGTCCTCTGCTGCCCTGCATGTGTCCCCCGGCCAAGCCCACTGGCCCTGGCCGCACGACGTCCACGCCTGCATCGAGGAGGACGAGCCGGAGCAGGAGACGGGGAGCCAGCCCGCGCTACGTGAGTGCACTTGTGCGCGGTGGCCACCTGCGCTCCAGCCTCTCACAGCTGATGTGGTTTGGGGCTAGTTTATGTGTTCATTTGTTTCGCTTGATTTCCAACATTTTCAAGCAAATTAGAATGTTTCTTTTCTTTAAAAAACAAACAAAAAACACACCAACCTTTCACTTCCACCCAAAATGAAGTAACAGGGGACAGATTCAAAACAAATTTTAAAAAACCACACAGATAGCTATAACTGGTTTGGCTCAGTGGATAGAGCGTCGGCCTGTGGACTGAAAGGTTCCAGGTTCAATTCCAGTCAAGGGCATGTACCTTGGTTGTGGGCACATCTCCAGTAGAGGGTATGCAAGAGGCAGCTGATCGATGATCCTCTCTCATCGATGTTTCTAACTCCCTATCTCTTCCTCTCTGTAAAAAATTAATAAAATATGTTTTTTTAAAAACCACACAGACAAAACCAAACCAGGAGAAATATATGAAATGAGAGATTTCAAAACACAGAACATCTGACAATAAAGAACGGTGACCCTGAGAGGCAGAAAGATAAGGTGAACCCCGCGACTGCCCTGGTTACTGCCCTTAATGTCCCCGGACATGGTACACAGCCTCCCCATGTGGACTAGACCAAGGTGGTGGGGTTTGCAGGACGAGGTAGGCAAGGCCTGTGCAGCAAAAGGCCTTGGGAGCCTGACAGATGGTTCCCCTCCAAAATCCAAATCGCTTGGTCAGCACAGCATGTGAAGAACCCCCGGAGCCAGGGAATCTTTGAAAGGCCAAGAGAACAGATGCCACAGTCACACAGGCACCTATCCCACCAGCTGGGCAGGACATTGTGGTTCGCAGGGTGCTAGGCGAGCCTTTGGAAGGGCCTATCTCAGGAGGAGGGAGCATTTGACTGACCCCTGCCCCCAACCCACCCACCAGATCATGAAGCAAGACCCAAGAGGACTCGTTTCCAGGTAACCTCACTGCATCGCAGGACCAAGCTCATGGAGATTTATAGAATCAAAAAAATATCCAGCACCCAACAAGGTCAGTTCACATTCTGTGACATCCAGTCATAGCAACAGGCAAGCAAAGAAATAGAAAACATAAACTGTAATGAGAGTAACCAATCCTGCAAAACCAGCTGAAGCTGGCGTGGATGTTGGAATTATCTGTTGAGGCCTTCAAACCATTGTTATAACCATTCTTGATGTCTAAGAAGTTAAGTAATGACGTGGAAGATATGAAAACACCAAGAAAGGACATAGAGGGCAAAAGCTGCAATATCTGAGGTGAAAATGAGACAAGTTGGGGTAACAGAAGAAAATGTTAGTGAATTTGAAGACACATCAGTGGAAAGTGTCCAAAATGAAACCCAGAGAGGCAGAAAGAAGGCGGAGGGGCACATCCATGAGCTGCTAGACAATAGCGTCTACAGGCGTGGGGTTCTATGCTATCTGTGAACTGAGTAATATCACTTGAAGGCAAATTGTGATCTGTTAGATTATAAAATAGCAAAACAACCACTAAAATAAAACAAAGAGACAGCTGAAACACTAACAAAGGAGACAAAATGAAACAGTAAGAAAAAAGTCCAAAGAATGTAGAGAAAGAAGAAGAGGGAACAAAGAACAGAGGGCTGTCTGGTCAGAGGCAGACCCGTGCTCAGCATGTCAGAGACCATACTGGTCATAATGGGCACCAGCAGCTTTTGGTGAGCGATTCACATGTTCTCTCTGACTGTTGTGTACACATGTGTAACCTCGCGGTATATACACAGGCCCAGAGATGTCCATTTGTGCTTTAGAGGTGTGCACTTTCTTGTGTCGCTTACATCCCAGTGAAACAGTATTTTGCACAACATCCTTGTGGAGGAAGGGATGTGTCTGGAATTCACCATGGTTGGTTATTGGCCTGTGGTCTCCTGCCCAGATGCGGCCCATCCTCGGGCCACACTGCCTGGGACATGTACCTTTCCAAGCCCAAAATGTGTCCTTGCCAGCAGGACAACATCTGAGACTTTGCAATCTCTGTGCCTGATGGAAGGCATTGCACGTGAACCCTGCCGGGGAGCCCAGGCAGCCAGGTGCTGCACACCTGATCAGAACCAGCAGCAGCCACGGCAGGCTGGGCCACCCGAGTACAATGGGGACACATGGCATTGCCAGCCCAGGGCGGCTACACTTCCTGAACACATACTTCTGGGTCCAGGACCACAGGTAGCTCACATCTGGGCTGGCACAGCCTGCAGTCAAGGCCCAGTCTGAGCCCGGATGTGAGGACAAGGAGAAAGGGCCTGTGTTAAGGGCTCATCTTGGCCATCCCCAGCTCGGTGCCCAAACAGCACTCATGATCCTGCAGAGAATTACAGGGGAATGCCACCAGCCACCCATGCAGGAGATTGAGACTGTGCCCAGACAGTGGCCTAGAACTCCAGTCTCAGATGTGGGGAGTGACCCCGGGTCTGGACCCAGTGGCTTCAGCTAGGCCAGCCCTCCAGTCCTGCAGCAGAGATTTGGGGGGGAAAGGGGGCAGGTCGGGGAGGAGGGGTGTAGGAGGGGGAGGGGAGGGAAGAATGTCAGGTCTTGTTTGTCCTGTTCTGGCTCCTTGTTTAAGGGTTGGGGACCTTCTTTGGTCTCAGTTTCTGCTTCCCCTTTGACTTGCATGCCCAGTGGTCACAGAGCCCCCAGCATGAGCTGAAGACCGCCTACTGGTGGAGAGGTTGTCTGGGCGCCGCCCACCCTGGTCTATCAGCTACACTGGCTCAGAGAACCGGGTCAGGAAACACTGTCCATGAGCATATGTGGTATTACCTTCCTGCCACACCATCCTGCTCTGACCAGCCTCACGTGCTGCTAGAAGCTCGCACATGGAGCAGAAAACGCCTAGCTGTTGATTGCCCCTGAGCATAGAAGACGCGGGGCAGCGCTCATTCCGGTGGACCCGCCCTAATTCTGGTCCTCTCCACAGGTGCCAAGAGCTCGGAGTCTTCCCAGTGCATGTCCGGGGACAGCAGCCCTGGCCCACCCGGGCTGTCACAGCCCCTGTTCTCTGATAAGGGCCCCCAGAGCACACCTCCCCCCCTTCCACCGAGGGACCCGCAGCCACAGATTGACGGAGCCCAGTTCATCACGACCGTGAGTGTACCCTCTTCTGAGATCCCACACGAGAGGCCCAGGTGCTTTGGGCGCAGTCAGTACCTGCCCACGTGATGCTGGGCCGCCCAGGACCACACAGACCCCACCCCGAGGGGTCATCATGCACGTGAACCTGCTCCCCACCCGCACCCAGCACTGCACGCTGGGCAGGCTGGCTACAAACCGAAGGCCTGGCTCAGGCACTGGGCACTTGGAGTCACTTAGCCAGGGTGATTGTAGGGCCTGCTCACTGCTGAGATTTTGCCGGCCCCCTGGAGGCCTGTACCATTTGGCATTCACTGGTTCCATTCAGTGGGGCCCTCACTCAAGGCCCTGCAGTCTGGGTATAAGAGGGCTGATGGTCAGCAGAGCCATTTCCAAGCAGCCTGCCGAGGAGCAAGCTGAAATCGGAAGATGCAGGGCGGAGGGTCAGCAGGGACTCTGCCTAGAGTCCAGCCCCTCCAGGGACACTTACAGGACCCCCAGTCCTGTCCTTCTGAAGGGATCACATACCTGGCAAATCAGTGTTCCCCCAAATGGATGCAAATGTGTGTTTTTATCTCGGGAGGGTGTCTGGGGCCCAGCCTGTCATAGGAGGATGCCCCAAATATTGCTAAGGGTGTGCACTCAGACGTCTTCCTGAAGGGGAGGGGCTGACATGGCCCGGAGAGGGGCCAGGCAACACACAAGTTACCTTTTCAAAGGGACCTCCTCACAGGACATGGCTGGGCCTGTGGGGTCAGTGCCTTCGCCCACCCCACGTCATACTCGTGAGTCTCAGGCACAGCTCCAGTGCTAGAAAGACACCCTCAGGCCGAAACCGGTTTGGCTCAGTGGTAGAGCGTCTGTCTGCGGACTGAAAGGTCCCCGGTTTGATTCCGGTCAAGGGCATGTACATTGGTTGTGGGCACATCCCCAGTGGGGGGTGTGCAGGAGGCAGCTGGTCGATGTTTCTCTCTCATTGACATTTCTAGCTCTCTATCCCTCTCTCCTTCTCTCTGTAAAAAAATCAATAAAATATATTTAAAAAAAAGAAAAAAAAAAAGAAAAAAGAAAGACACCCTCAGACCACCTCCTGGAATCCTCGGAAGGAAAGGTCCGATTTTAAGGGTGCGCTGAGCAGAGAGTCGAGGGAATGAGTCTTTAGCTCCCTTGCCCCAGATCATCTGTGAGGCCCAATGACGCTGGTTCTGTAGTGACTTCCCTCCCTTTCTGTCAGAACAACACCCCTCATGTCTTCAGCTTCTGGATAGCTATTTGAGTGTCAGGCAAAAACACTCTGTAAGTAACAGTCTCCCAGCTTCCCCAGTGCACCAGGGTTTCTCTCGCCCACCTAAGGCGCTGGGCACCCCACCACCCCCAGGCTGCCTGACTGAGCCTCTGCCTGTTGCAGATGCTCCCATATCAGGATCCCATATCGTGACGGCATTGACAGCACCACGAGAGAGACGCACCGGCCAGGCAGGGCTGCTTCCCTGCTCCCCCATCTTCCTGTCTAACCTCCCTGTAGTCTCGCTGCCTAAACCCCCTGGTGACCGGCATACTCAAGAGGCCAGCATTGGCCACTCTGAGAGCTCAGGCCTTTCTCCAATAGGAGGGCCAGGCCTGGGAGAGATATAGTCTGTCCCCAGAGGCCCAGCCAAGGCAGTGGAGACCACCCACCCCGCCCCTGCCTCCAGGGTGTCCTCCAGAGCACCCCCTATCAGCAGTGGCTCAGGGGGACCTGGCACCCTCTCCTGAGAATGGACCTCCCTGACACCCCCTCCCACCTGCCCGTGCCCTATGGCTCGCCAGCAGTTGTCCACAGACAAGGTTGTCACTCATTGTGCCCAGTACTGCGTGCGGGAAGTCCATGCACACATCGAATCCATGTCGCAGCAGGCACAATGCTGTGCAGGCACCATGGGTGGGAGCCACAGTCCAGTCGTCAGGATGAGGACTTGGTGGCAGGTTCCCTGAGTGTGAAGTCACTTCCTCCACCATGATCTCAGGCCTTGGTGTCCTGGGCGGACAGTGGAGGAGGCACAAAGGAGTGCAGGAGACATCTCTGCCTGAATCCCATTCTCAGACTGCAGAGAAGACCCCCTGCTCACCCCCTCCCACCATCCCCCCCCCCACAGTTTCCCTGCACTGACCACCTTCTGTGTGTGTGTGTGTGTGTGTGTAGGTCCCGGAGCAAATGACAAGTCTACAAGTACATGTGAAACCCCTGTGCCTGTAAAATAGACTGTTTTCCACAAACCACCTGTGAGATTGTTGTATGAGATACAAGATACCGTAATGAGCCAATTAATTAGGAGTCGTTTATTGCGGACGTCCTGTGATGCTAGCTGAGGGCCGCCACTCCCTTCCAGGCCCAGACCTGTCACTCACAGACCAGCGCTGCACCTGCCACAGGAGAGTCAGCTCGAAGGGGCTCTTGTTAAGGGGCCTTGTCCTGGTCCTTGCCTGGCCCAGTGCTTCTTAGAAAGGATGTGTCCACGAGCCTAGAGTGCCTTTTGTGGTGGGAGGACCCCTTCAGAGCCTCACCGACAAGGACTCGGTGCTCTGGCAGACCTGAGGTAACAGGGTCGTTCTTTTGACAGCTCTGAGACCGGGATGGGATGTGGCTACTCCAGGCAGAGGAACCTCAGTCTAGACCTGCACATGAGGTCTGAGGATGAAGCTCCAGCTGGGCGCTCCTGCCACACCGGCCCCGGGATTCTCGGTCACACGCCCCTTGGGACCTGAAGTCATTTCCATCAATTAACCGCTCAGCCTGTGCATGGCCAGGCCTCCGCTTCCTTCTTCCTGTATGGTTCTTCCACCTCCGTCCAGCACCGACACCCCATGCGGCCCAGCCTCTCCCACTGTGGTGGGAGCACACAGACCCCTATCCCATGCGGAGGCCCAGACACGCGTGGGCCTCAGAGCAGGGTGAGCCCTCTGGGACTGTGTCTCTGTACATCAGGCCGTGGGTGACGGGCCCCGCAGAGATGGGTCCCAGGTGCAGGGTGAATATAAGGGAACCTCCGTTCTGTTTCCCATGTAGCGAGTTGTATGTAGTCAGCAGAGCAAGACTAGAGTTAGGCTCAGGGGCCACAGGTGACCCCCTGTGAGCCTGGGTGGAGGCTGCACCCTGCTTCCCAGGCAGGCACCAGGGTGGGGCAGGGGCACAGCAGGTGGGCTTGCAGCTCTGAGGAGCCGGTGCCGGAGGCCCGTTGGTGTGGACGTTGCCCGAGAAGACCACCCTCACCAGAGGAGTTGAATCGGAAGCAGGGAGAGCCTGGGAGACGCCAGACCTGTAATGAGCTTCCTGCTGCAGACATCCCTCACCCCCACCCCGCACCACCACCACCACATGGACCTCCAGGACCAGGGAGTGCTGGTGGCAGGGGCCACGCTTCTCTGATCTGCCAGCGTGGAGACTGTTTTGTCACATTTTTAGTGCTGACGTGTCCCAAACTTAGGAACAGAAATAAATAGGATGTGTTTTTACCAAGTGGCTGCGTGTCTCTACAAGGTCTATTGTGGCCAAGGACATCTCCTGCACATGTCACCTATGTCACCAGGAAGCCCCGCTCCTGCGACCCTCGCTCTGGGGTCCGCATCCACGTCACACACCTTTTGGTAAAGGCAGGTGAAGTCCCACTGCTCACTCACCCCTCACCTGCCTGACTGAAGTGGGTTCCACCCTGGGAGCTGAGGCCTCCCCATCCCCACCCCCCTGAGGGAGGCTCAGAGGGGACAGCTGCCTGCAGGCCCCTGAGGGAGCGTCCACACCCCACACACACCCACTCACATGCCACACACCTCAGCAGATCCTTTCCTCCACTGCCTTTCTCTGCCTCTCCCCCTCCTCCTCTTGCTCTGTCTTCCTGTCATCTTTTCTGTGTGTGTGTGTGTGTGTGTGTGTGTGTGTCTCTGTTCCAGTGGTTACCCTCCCAGCCCAGAGCTTGTCCTGGTGGCCTGTGAGCTAACTGCTCCAGCCCTGCCCCAAATGCTGCTGCTGCTGGTGGTGGTGGTGGTCGTGGTCTGTGTGTGTGTGTGTGTGTGTGTGTGTGTGTGTGTTGGGGGATAGGAGGGAGTAAGTCATTTAACAATCAGTTAACAGCCATCAATGCCCAGGCTTTATAGAGAGGAAATATTTCCCCACCCATTTTAGTAACAAAAGACAGATTAACAGAAAAGCAGTTTTATTTAATATAAAATTTAGGTGGCATGGAGCCCTCGCAGGAAACGAAGGCCCAATGGATAAGCCCAAGTGTTTCTCTACTAAGCTGAGTAAAGAGGCAGCGGTGGAAAAGTAAGGAAGACAAGTTACTTAACGAGGTCTGTTTGCTCAGATTCTCTGGCCTGACCCCCAGCCCTCCTGGTGCAGGAAGGGTGACTTACATGCACTTTATTTCATTTTTTAAATATGTTTTCATTGATTTCAGAGAGAGGGAAGGAGAGGGAGAGAGAGAAACATCAATAAAAATTGTTCGGCTGTCTCCTACACATCCCCTGTTGGGATGGGAATTGAACCAGCGACCTCCTGGTGCACAGAACGATGTTCAACCAACTGAGCCACACCAGCGGGGCTCACATGAAGCTTTAGCTCCTGCTTTTAGGAAGAAAGGGGAAGGTTGGAGGTTAGCACCTGCTATTGTTCAAGTGCCTTTAGCTCAAAATAATCCTGATGCTAATGTGGCATATTTGGCACATCGTACTCTGCCACCCTTCAGAATGAAGAGTTGAACACCACATCAGGGAGGCAAGGCAGCATGGCTCCCAGGGCCTCCCATCCAACCTGCAGCAGCGCTTGCCTCCTGGGTCTAGGGTCCGAGATGAGGACACGGGGGGGATGGAGGGTGCAGAGCCTGCATCTCCCAGCTGCTGTCAGGCAGGCCCACAAGGGACTGTCTGCATGTCCTCCCAGCTCACTCAGACCATGGCTCCCTCCCATAAAAGTGGGAAGGCCACAGGCTGCACTGGGTCCTTGGAGAGAAAAAGGAAGAAAAGGGACAAAGCAAAGCATTGATGCCTTATGGGGCTGGCACAACCGTTGTCAGAGGTGCCTACCCCCATCCTTGGTACTAGTCCCTATTCCCAGAAGTGAGGCCAGGGGAGACTCCTGCCCCAGAGGTTCTGTGAAATGTTTGTTAGCCCAAGGCTGACCTTGTTCTATGCTCCTATAACTGTGGGCAGGGTTAGAGCTGGGGCAGATGTGCTCCAAGGAGACTGCCCTGGGATCAGCTTACTGCACTCCTAAGCACAGGCCACCCACCCTTGCAGTGGGCACAGGCCACCCACCCCTGCAGTGCGCACAGGCGGCAGTTTTCTGGGGCCCAGACCTCCCCTGACCTAAGCACTGAGCTCTGCTTTCACCAGCCGAGCTCCACGAAGATATGCCGGCTGCTGCCAGACACCTCGCCCAGAACCAAACAGGCACCCGGGACCAAAATAACCATCAGATGACACAGGGCTGGCCGGCCACCTCCCTCCCAGAGGCAAGCTGCTCCCAGCAGCTGCAGCTAAAAATAGCGGAGGGCATACACGTGTCTTCGGGAGAATCACGGGGGGGGGAGAGCCCTGTCCTGCCTTTGTCACCGCAGGTGGGCAGGATGAAGTCACTGCGCTTTGCTTCTGCCGAGGCCCTGGCGTCCCACCCGCAGGTGGCCCTGCAGAGCCTGGACAGCGTGGCCCACAACCTCTACCCACTCCTCTTCAAGGCCAGCTACCTGCTGGAGCGAGCGGAGGTGATCCGAGCCCTGCTGCAGCGGTGGCCGCTGGAGGAGTTCCGGCTTGGGGCCCTGCTGGGGCCCAGCACAGACCACGCAGCCGACCTGCGAGACCGGGCCTGCAGGGCCTGCCTGGAGGCCTGCCTGCGGGGCCTGGCGGACCACGTGCTCCGGGGCACGGGCCCGCGGCGGCTGCTGTTGGCCGACCTCACGGGAGTCCGGGACGTGCAGGTGCAGCAGTGCCCCTGCGGGAGGGCGCTGGGCCGGTGGGGCCGCACGGAGCTGCTGGCCAGGACCTGCTGCGAGCTGCAGGCGGACCCCCGCGCCGCCCGGCATTCCGTCAAGGTCCTGGCTGACATCTTCGTCACGGATGGAAACTTCCAGTTGGTGGTGCAGGCCCTGGGGCCGGCAGCTTCCACCCCGCCGCTGCGCCTGCGCTGCCTCTCCTTCCGGGCAGACAGCCTGGAGCCCGGCCAGCTCCTGCAGGTGCTGTGCCTGGCGGGGCCCGGCGAGCTGCGCCGGCTGCAGGTGGTGCACAACGTGCGGCTGCACGCGGGCCACGTGCAGCAGCTGCTGGCCCAGCTGCACTTCCCCCAGCTGGTGTCGCTCACCCTGCCTGCCAGGGCCTTCGACCCGCCCCCTGCCTGCGCCCCCGCTCCCGAGGGGGAGGACTCCCTCCTCACCTCCATCGCCTGGCAGCTCAGCCAGATGACCCAGCTCACCGAGCTGAGTGTGGCTTTCTCCACGCTGACCGGGAACGTCCAGAAACTGCTCGGGTGAGTCTGGGGTGGCCACAGGGAAGTGGCAGGGCGGGTGCGGTCTCTGCTCACAGCCTCTTACCTGGGCCAGGGTGACTCGGGACCCTAGTCTAAAGCCAAAGATGCACCAAGGAACCCGGTAGATAAGGGGACCTTGGTACTTATAAGAGGCCCAAAGCAGGAGGGGACGGACTAGGCCGCAGTGGTCGGCAAACTCCTTAGCCAAATGTCAACAGTACAACGATTGAAATTTCTTTTGAGAGCCAATTTTTTTTAAACTTAAACTTTTCTAACGCCACTTGTTCAAAATAGACTTGCCCAGGCTATGGTATTTTGTGGAAGAGCCACACTCAAGGGACCAGAGAGCCACATGTGGCTCACGAGCCGCAGTTTTTCAACCATGGGACTAGGGCACATGTGTCAAACACAAGGCCCGCGGGCCAAATCCGTCCCGCCAGGCCTTGCAATGTGGCCCGCACCACGCTGTCATCACTGCACTCAGCTGTGTTTCCATCACAATGACAGTTTATGACTGTTCAGTAAACCATTTGGCCCGCGATTTAGGCTGGATTTTAGATTTTTGCCCCTTCTCTGATTGAGTTCGACACCCCTAGACTAGGGAAAGAGAAGGGAAATTTAGCACTGGGAATTCACAAGGAACTGTTTTCAATTAGTAAGGTAAAGAGAAAATGACTGATTAGCAAACCAATAACACAGAAGTGACTATATTGGTGTATTAATTACTTGTTATTGTAACCCCAACACTGGGCTGAACAAGCTTGCTTCTGGGTTGCTTCTGGCTGTTGGTGGACTGTGGTCTCCTTGAAGGTGTGGCAGACGGAAAAGTGGGTTATCTGCTTCCAGGTTCACTCCCGCGGCCCCGGGCAGGTGGCCTAGGCACCTCTTCACACAGGCTCAGGCCCTCCACGAGCCTCTGGCTGCTCCCCGAGAGCCAAAGTGCCCTGGGGGTGGAGGGGCTGTCCTTGTAACCTCCTCACTTTTGCTTATTGTGTGGGTTAGGAGCCAGTCACCACCGGGCGGGCCGTCAGGCCACCTGCCATGAATATCCTTATAAAAACGTCCAGAAAATTGAGCTTCTCATTCCTTGAGCCAGGGAGTGAGGAATGAGGAGCCCCTTCCTAGTTGAGGGAGCCCTTTGCTTGCAGGTGTTTCTCTTTTATGCACGTTAACCCAGAACTGCCAGCCCAGGTGGCCAGAGGCCACACTCCCTCTCCTCTACTGCAGGTATCCCGACTCCGCCAGGTCACCCATCCCTGTTCCTGCCCCTCAAATCTGCCAGGCAGGGGAATGAGGGCTCCTTTCCTCCTGTCTTCCACAGGACATCAGTCTCCTATGCAGAAAAGGTGGCCGCCAAGCCCACTACGTAGAACTCTGACGAGTGACTGGCTCTCTGGGACCTTCAGGACAGTCCTACATGTGGCTGGCTTGGGTCCTCAGTCCAGATGTGCCTTTGTGCGGGGGGGAATGTGTCCCGCAGCCAGAGGGACCCGACACAAGCCTGGCAGGGCTGTCATGCCATGTTAGCTCAGCCCCTGATTTGCCTTCCCACTGCCCCGCACACCCTGACCCTCCACTGGGGGGAGCCCGTGCTCCATCGTGTTCTTTAGTCGGGCTGGATGCTGAGCGTCTAGGATCCCTCCCTGGAAGGTCCAGGTGAGGAGTGTCAGGGAAGGCACACTCCTGAGGTCCCTTTGAGGCTGGGGAACAGGTGGGGATGTGGCAGGGCCAGGGGTCAGCAGGGAGCGGGGACAGCAGGGAAAGGGCAGTGTGAGGGAGGTGGCAGTGGAAAGGAGGAAAAGAGGGAAGGGCTCCAGCTTTTCCTGAGTGAGCAAAGCCCCGGAAGTTCTGAGCAGGAAGGTGGATGATCTGTGTGTCTCCACAAGGCTCACTCTGACCTCTTTGGCACACACAATGCACACGGGTGGAGGGTTAAGGAGAACCACATGGGAGGTGTCAGGCCGCCACGACCCCCTCGGTTTGGTGATTCCTAGGAGGATTTCGTGCAGAGTAGTGCTCACAGCTGTGATTAATTAAGGAAAAAGCACAATTGCAAAGGGAAAGGCCGGTGGGACTGGGCTGGGAGGCCTGGCAGGAGCTCCCAGGTCCTCGCCCAGTGGAGTCCCCGGACTCACTTTATCCCTCAGCACCGGGTAGGTGCCCTCTACCGGGGAGCTAGTAAGGCGCCCAGGCCCAGGGTGTGTTGTGGGAGCTGGTCGGCCGGCTCTTCCGCCGGGCGCACACCCAGACTCCAGGTCCCAGAAGGAAGCAGGACCTTGGTATGAACCAGATTCTTTGGGTAAATAATCCAGGGCCAGGGGCCACCCAGCCCCCAGTCCCATCCCCAGACGCAGGCCTCCCAAGGTCAACAGTCAGGCCCATACTGATGGCCCTGCCAATCTACATAGGAGAGGACTAGGCTAGGACAGTGGTCAGCAAACTGCAGCTCTTGAGCTGCGGTTTGCTGCTCTGTTGACTGAGTTTGCCGACCACTGGACTAGGACCATCTGTGAGCAGGGCAGGTGGTGAGCAGAGCTCAGGCCTGGACTTGATGTGAGGGAGGATTGACAGGATTTCCTCGTGGGTGGTGTGGCATGAGAGAAATGGAAAGAGAAGCATTCACCCACAGAGCCCAGCAAGGATACAGAGAGCACGCTGTGAGGTTGACAGCAGGTACTCAGCTGTGCAGGCCCATGGGCAGATACCAGGCACTGAGCGCACACATAATACAGGTGCAGGAGGTGGGAGGGGATGGGCAGGACAGAGAACTGGACCCCGTGCAGCCTTCTGTGCTCAGCGCTCAGGTCCTGAGTCCCGGGGATGGCTGGACCGAGAACACGCATCTCTCACAGGACCCCGTTGTCCATGTTCTTTCTGACTTTGAGGACCGCAGCCCAGAGCAGGGTCACGCCCCGGCTCTGTGTTTATTGATGTGGGGCCACCTATATCAGAAAGGGAGAGCCTGGACAAGATGGCTCCAAGGCCCTAAAACTGTGTGGCTTCCACTCTTGAATGAAACCTGGGCATCTCATTTCCTGCTAGTTCACACGCATCTCCCTGTCCCAACCAGTTTGTGAGCAGACATTCTCTACAGAGACCTCTGTGGTCATGTCCCCACCGAGAGTGGTGACATGAAAGATTCATCCTTGTAGGAGCTGTGGACACGAGGCCAGATCTGTCTTCGGTGGAGTGAACTCTTCACTACACGCAGCCACACCACCGTCTCAAGGATGCAGCCTGACTTTCTGCCCCCCAAACAGCCGCAGACAGTAGATGAATGAGCGAGGCTGCATCCCGATCACAGTTTGTTCATGGCCGCTGAAATTTCCTGTCGTTCTCTCATGTCACAGACGATCCTTTTGGTTTGTTCAGCTCTCAGAGCCATTCTCGCTCTCAGGCTGAACGAAAGCAGGCAGCTGGTGGATTTGGTTCTGAGGTCACGGCTGCTGCCCCCTGAGACAGAGTCACCTAGTCGCCCGCAGAGCTCCTCCCCGGGGAGCTGCTCACCTCTGCCATTTTCCACTCACCTGCAGCCCCCTCAGGACCCCGCTGAGAGTGCTGGACCTGGCCAACTGCTCCCTGAACCACGCGGACATGGCCTTCTTGGCGGACTGCGCCCATGCCGCCCACCTGGAGGTGCTGGATCTCAGCGGGCACAGCCTGATCTACCTCTTTCCTTCGAGCTTCTTCCGGCTGCTGGGCCGGGCAGCGCAGACCCTGAGGGTGCTCACCCTGGAGGAGTGCGGCATCGAGGACCGCCACCTGAGCACCCTGATCCTGGCCCTGGGCCCCTGCCGGCAGCTGCAGGAGCTCCGCTTCCTGGGCAACCCGCTGTCGGCCTCCGCCCTCCGGCGCCTCTTCCTGGCCCTCTGTGAGCTCCCCAAGCTGTGGTGGGTGGAGTACCCAGTGCCCAAGGACTGCTACCCGGAGGGGGCCGCCTACCCCCAGGACGAGCTGGCCATGTCCAAGTTTGACCAGCAGAAATATGACCTCATCGCCGAGGACCTGCGCGGGGTGCTGCTGCGGGCCGGCCGGGACGACATCCAGGTCTCCACACCGGTCTTCGGAAGCTTCGACCCAGATATCCAAGAAACGAGCAACGAACTCGGGGTTTTCTTGCTGCAAGCTTTCAGAACGGCCCTGGAAAACTTCTCCCTGGCTCTGAAACAAATGGAGTAGGCGGGCCCTGCAGCAGGCACAGCGGGTCTCGCCTTCCAGCCGATGGATCTGTGACCACCCCGGGGTCGGCAGTTTGGGCCCAGTGTTTGTGCCCTCCCTACCATATCCGAAGCATTTCTTAGTCCTGGCATCTGTTAGGCGCTCTAGGAGACGAAGCCCTGCCTTCCCGTAGACATGACACGAGGTCACTTTAGGCTCAAAGCACAGCGGGCATGCAGGAGGGGGACATGGCCCGGGGCAGGCACAAAGAAGTGCCAGGGACTGAGAGTGGCCGTCCTGGTCACGGTGCGCCCCAGGCTGCGTGCGAGATGCAGGCTAGCCTGGTAGCGGTAGCAAGGAGGTGGGAGAGAGGACATCAGCTGGCATGAGAGGGAAGAAATGAGAGAATACGTCACCACCAACTGGGAAAAGAGTGAGAGTGAAGAGCATGGGAGCCCTGTGCTGTCCCACCCCCTGGCTTGTCCACAGTGCTGATGCTTACAGGGTGACGTCTGTCTGAATATTTACAGCAGCCAATCTAGCGTGGACCGTGGGCTTTGGTTATCAATGGCTTTAATCTAATTTGAGGCGGTGAACAGGGCCAAGGCTGCTGGCTGAGCCTGAGAGCACAAGGGGAAGGAACCCGAGGGCCTGCAGTGACCACACCCTGCTGCCCTAAGCCTCGCAGGCCCTGAGGAGGACGCTCTGCTCTGGTCTAAGGGAGCTGGCCTGGCGCTCAAGAGTAGGACGCAGGTGGGCTTGGTTTCCACAAGCTCTTATTTGTGCAACGGTGATTATTAGGATGATTAAATACAAATAAAACAGAAGTGTGTCTTATTCAGATATGATTTTAATTTCAATGCGATTTAACTTAATTTTAATTTCAATGTGATTTTAAGTTCAGAATTTTTAAAGGAACCTATGAAATAAAACAATTTTTTTCTCAAGATAGAAGCTTGTACCTGATCTGGCCAAATCCTCCTCAACCATCCCAGTGCTCCATGAAGGTTTGCATCACTGAGTGAACAGGTGCTGCCCCTCCCCTAGTGTGCCCCTTCCCAGGTGCTCCCACCCCTCCCCAGATGTGTCCCCACTCCCCAGGTGTGTCCCTACCCCGGTACCCCTGCCTCTTTCTCCAGGTGTCTCCCATGCCTTTCTCCCACGATGGAGTGGGGCCTCTGAGGTTGGATCTCCAGAGTGAGAGCGATCTCAGGGGTCAGAAGGGGAGGGAAGGGTGGCCTCCCGTCAGATCTGCTCTCTGCCTACCAGCTGCATGTCGCAGCTCTGTCATGCTGGTAGTCTCTGGGGTCCTATTTCAGGCACATGGAGTTTGCTATTGTAAGACGCTCTCAGGAAATTTTTTAATGATTTGATTCTGCGAAGAGCAGAGTAGGTTCCACTGTTTGGGTCTGTGGAATTCTCTTGATGACAGACTTGGCCTCTGAGTGCCAGCCAGGTGGGACCCTAGCACATGAGTGGCTGAGCCCGGCAGCTGTGGTACAGAAGGGCCCAGGGTTGCTGAGGTGACCTGGGACCTGGGATTTGGGGCAGGGCAGGCACACAGGGGTCTGCTAGAGGCAAATGTGCCCTGGGGCCCTAGGGAACAATACATTCTGATGAAGCCCTCTTAAGAGGTTGAGAGGCTCAGGAGAGCCATCATGAAGCCAAAGGAGCAGCCTGAGTGGGACCGTGCCTCTGCCCAGTCCCAGGGCTGCAATGAACGTGTTCCTGTGGACCTGCTCAGCCCCGACCACGTCCAGCCATGAAGAATTTTCATTGCACCTGCTCAGCCTGCAATTTGTGGCCCTGACAACACCTGATGTGGCAGCAGCTGTGGTAGGTTTCTGTCAGGGTCCAGGAGCAGAGGATGTGGCCCCCACACAAAAGCAAACTGGGCATAAGAAAAAGCACCCAGAGATGTCTAATCACTGTGCTGTACCAGGGGCCAGACAGATGAATTGAATGGAGACTTGATGGGAACACCATGTTGGACACCATGGGGACCTCTGTGATGGACACAGAGACAGTATCATCCTGCACTGTGGGGACCACCATGATGGATATCACGGGACCACTCTGATGGACATGGTGAGATTATCATCGTGTATACTGTAGGGACCACTGTGATGGATACCAGGAAACCACTCTGATGGACATGGTGAGACTATCATCCTGTATATTGTGGGGACCACTGTGATGGATACCATGGGAACCACTCTGATAGATACTGAAGGACCACTGTGGTGAACACTGGGGGGTCACTGTGATGGACACTGGGGGTTAATCTACCTGGACCTGTGGGTACCACCATCTGCCCATGCTGCCCCTTCATTCTTTGTAGCGGGTTAAGCATTGTTTTTCCCTGTGGAGTTCAACACTACTTCCTGTTTCCCATCCTGGCAGAGAGGGCACAGATTCAGGGGCTTTCACTTGGTCCATCCTAATGACTCTTGTTCCAGACCATCCTTTCTATTTACATGTTCAGACAGCTCTTGGGCTCTTCTTTTTCTCCATTTTAAACCATTTCAGTTCAATAGTGTTCCACCATAATCTCACTTTATCCAGACACCATTTGGGACATCTGTGAAGCCATCAGATGCCACCACATTGTGTGAACATTTCAAACCTAATATCAATTTTAAAAAGATAGATGGCTTCAAATTTACACAAGAGAATTCCACAGACCCAAATAAGTTTGCTGATGGAAGGCAGTGGTGCCATGCAAATACAATGTGGCCAAATTTAATTTTCTGTAGAAAACTCGTCTTCCTAATCTTACAATCTAAAATAATTTGAATCATCTGAACATACTTATCTAGTTGTTGAAGGAGGTGAGGCTGAGGGCATGTTGGAAATTAGAAAACACTATGAAGATGAACAATTCTCCTTGAAAATCACTCACCTACTAAATGCCTGAGTGTATTTTCCTTAATTTAATGTAAAAACCAAGAGAAAAACATTAAGTAGCTTATCCAAGGATATGTGACAAATCATTGGAGTAACAGGAACTAGAATATGCACCAGATTTCACCGAAGACATCACTTGTCATATCAGTGATGGCAATACAGCAGAAAGACATTCTGAGCCTTTAAAGAAGTGTCAGACCACAGTGACCAGAACCTAGGAGCTCTGGGCAGAGCCAGGGCAGAGGACCAGCACCCATGTCTTTAAATATATTTTTTATTGTTGATGGTATTACAGATATCTTCTATTCCCAACCCCACCCCACCAGTACCCATTTTAGGGAACTTACTTAGTCAGCTTCCTCATCTCTAAAATGGTTCTGAAAATTTAAACACATCAGCATAAAATACTTACAGTTCAGTGTGCAGCAGGTACCCAGCGAAGAGTAGCTCCAATGATTATACCCTACAATTTAACATAAGTTCCCTATAAGCTGAATGTTTTTAACGTACATCTTATTGCCACATAGACAAGCAGGCAGGCAGGGTGGAGACAGGATTTGAAACCAGATGGACCTCAACCCAGGCACTGCAAGGCCACTTTCATAACTGCACAGAAGTTTCCAGCAGCTCTGGAGCAAGCTGCCTGGATTCATACTGGCTCCAACATACCGCCAGGATGACCTTGGGCAGGCTAACTTTTACTGACCTCCATGCCACTTCCCTCCCCTGTAAAATGAGGACGTGCAGAAGAGTTCACACAGCAGGCCCGAGGCTGTGGTCCTTTGAAAGGTCTGCTTACAAGGTTGGCTTTTGGCTGGCATCCGGGGTCCTATGTTTTGGAAGAGTTCCCGCCACTAACTAGTAAGTGCCTAAACTCTGTACAGTTTGGACTGAACACTTCCTTCTGAGAGTGTGGAATTTGTTGGGGATGTGCCATGCCAGGCAGAGGGTGCCTATGTGACCAACCCTCAACAGAATCCCTAGGTGCTGTCTCTAAGGCAGTGTTTTTCAACCTTTTTTGGGCAAAGGCACACTTGTTTCATGAAAAAAATCACGAGGCACACCACCATTAGAAAATGTTAAAAAATTTAACTCTGTGCCTATATTGACTATATATAAATTCTCTTGAATAGGAATCAAATAAACACAAAGAAAGTATTTTATAATTACTTTATTATGAAATATTAAGTAAACAAAATAGTGAAAAATTATAAAATTCTTGTCTTGTCTGCACCTACGGCACACCAGGCAACATCTGTGACGCGGAACAGCGGTTGAAAAACGCTGCTCTAAGGAGTGTCCCTGGTTCGAAACAACTCACATGATCGCCTTACTTGATCGCCTCACTTTGCCTGTGTGCCTTTCCCTTTGTGTCCTATGTACTCAGTCTCATGAGCATAGCTCTGTGCTGAGTCATCAAACCTATGGGTGGTCTCAGGGGGTAGTAATACTATTGCACAGGATTGGGGATAGGATTACTTGAGTGATGTGTGAAGCATAGTAAAGGATGATTCATAAAGTAAAGATGCTTTGTGAAAAACAGGGCCATGAATGCCTGCTACCTATTTGTGGCAAAAATTGAGATGATTTTTGTAAAAACATTTAGTAAAGAGTAAAAAATTACACAAGAAGTGGTAGGTATTTTTTAAATTGAAGGTATCTTTTATTATATGGCACCACTAATCAACAATATCTATTGAATACAGACACAAGCCAAATTCCAAACATACACTAGAGTATCAAGTGGATATAAGAAATCACCTTTTCCCTTTGGTGGGAGATCTTTAAAACAATAGAAAACCTTGATAATATTAGTATTTTCCTATCATCATCTGCTAGGCAGTTCTAATCTACTACCCGACAACTTCTAAATGTAACTTTAGAAGAAACATAATTCGAGGGAAAACAGGATTTATTTAGGGAGTGATAAAAGCAGACAGGAAATTTCTTATAGTGGGGATCACTACTGTATTTCAGTTTCCTAAAAACAACTTTACCCTAAAGCTAAGATATGAGGTTATACTCTGCGAATAAAATGCTGATAGCTGAAAAAAATGCTTCTGAGAAACTGCTTCCATAATATCTGTGGGGATGGGGAGGGAACGCTGTGTCTACTGAGGGCTATTGTATCACTCAGAGGTGCAGGCTGGAAGACCACTCAGTGCTTGTGGCCACAAACAGGCAGTACTGGAAGAAGGGAAAAAAGAAAACATCGGATAACCCAGAATGTCACAATGATAGTCTGACCTGAGTAATTAAAAGGTTTTACTTCATTCTTGTCTTACTCTTCTAGTATGGTTTTCTCTAATTTCTTAAACTTTTTCAGTTCGACAATTAGTTCCCAGTATTTGAGATATAGCCACATGAGTCTTCCATTTTGGCGTTTGTTGGTGTTCCAGACATCACCACAATAGGTATCGTGCTTAAATATGTCGGTCAAGCCGGCTGCCATTTCTAGGTCAGCGGCAACTGGGTCAGTGGATGCTCGGACCAGTAAGTTCTTCTCTATTTCCAGCCGCTTGCTGCGAGGGAGGACCAGGCTGCAGTAGATATTCTGTCTTTCTGAAAGAGCTACTTCAAACTCTTTCAGCAGCATCTGGGCCCTCCTCTGCCAGTCTTCTTCCTTTTCCAGGCAGCTCAGATACACACTTCTCAAGGGCTGCAACTGTCGCTTTTCTTTCATGACCTGAGCCCGTTCCTGTTCCAAAAGCTTCTTTTCCTCCACCAATTTGCGTCCCTGAACGATAAGGGCTTCGCGATAACTAGTCGTTCTGTTTTGTTCCTTTTCGAGTTCCAAAGATAACTGAGCCACGGCGCGGCGGTTCTCTGAGATCATGGTGTGGTACTTGGCTTCAAGATCCCGCTGGAAAGCAGCCGTCCTCTGACGGTATGCTTCTCGCTCCTTTTCTATTTCTTTTTGGGACTCCCTAGACCAAATCCAACCTGGCATGGATAAATTGAGGGAGACAAACACACATAATGAAAACCCAGAGCTGAAGCTCTGTAATCTTTAAAGAAAACATAAAGCAGCTAAGACATGATTTCAATAAACTCTTACGTCCTGAGAGTTACAAAAAAAAATACCACTTTGTATGAAACTATATAATAAGCAAAGTTCTTAAATCAGATCAGGGCTCCCAAAAGATGAGTATGACAGGCTGAAAGTAGGGAGTCCCCCTTTCAGTCTCCTAATTTTCCACGGCTAAGAAAAACCCACTGCTTTCTTTTGCTCTCTACTCTAGCCAGTGCCCCCATGTACTATTGGCAAGGTTTAAAAATTAATATATGTTATTTGTTGAAAAAAATAAATATGGGTATACTTCAAATATTGTTGGCCAAGTTAAAGCACATTTCAAAATGTGTTCAGCTTTGCCTGGTCATCACTAGTAAGTAGCTAAAGCCCCGGACGTTTGATTTGTTATGATAGGGGTACATAAAAGTAAGGTGGACTGGGAAGTTCAATGTCAAGACATGATGTCAATGGGCTAGAGTCCGGGTGGTGAGCCCGACTTCCATGCCAACCTGAAAATAAGGAGGCAGCACCACCCTTCTACCAGAGCACTGCCAAGAAGCCAGGCAAAAAGGTGTGAGTAAAAATCATTCTCATAGCATACCCAAGATGCTCAGGTTTCCACAGAAAATCACTCTTCATAACCAAGAATCAGGAGGATCTCAGATTGACTTAGAAAAAGATCATCAGTAGCCCCAGCCCATTTGGCTCAGTGGATAGAGTGTTGGCCATAGATTGAAGGGTCCTGGGTTTGATTCTGGTCAAGGGCCCGGTACCGGGTTGCAGGCTAGATCCCCCAGGGCAAGGGCAGGAGACAACCAATTGATTTGAGTTAATCCACTTTTTTTTTTTTTTTTGTAAAATGTAAAACTAAAACTTTAGAAAATATATAGGAGACCTAAGGCTAAGCAAAGAGTTCTCAGACTTGGAATGAAAAGTATGACCCATAAAAGGAAAAGTTGATTAACTGGACTTCATTAAAATGAAAAACTTTTGCTCTATGAAATACTCCATTAAGAGACTGAGAAGACAAGCTACATACTGGAAGATGTCTGCAAACCAGATATCCAACAAAGTACTAGAATCTAGAATATAATAAAAACTCAAAAGTCAGTATTAAAAAAGTATCCAATTAGGAAATGGCTGAAAGACAGGAACAGATCTTTCATAGAAAGAGGATACACTGATAGCAAGTTAGCATTGAAAAGATGCTCCACATGACTAGCCGTTAGTGAAATGCAAATTAAAATCCCAGTGGACTATCACCACACACCTACAAGAATGGGTTAAGCAAGAACAAGTGGCCACACCAAATGCTAGCAAGGATGCCAAGGAACTGGATCACTCACACACTGCTGGTGAGAACGTAAAATGGTACAGCCACTCTGGAAAACATTTTGGCACTTTCTTAAAAAACTAAACATTGACTGACTTTCACGGAAGCTGACAAAATTTGGTGGTTTTTATGACTCAGTGATCTGCATGATGCCTGATTTTCCATGAGACTAAATCCAGCCCTGAGGCGTTGCCGTTTAGAAGTTCACTAGACTGCCATCTTGCAAAACACTACTTAACACTTGGAAAGACTACCAGTTGCCTGTGGCTAGAGTGATGAACTTGGTGAGTGAATTGAAAGGTTTAAAGTTACAATTACTAATGTAATAATTAGTTTTGAAACTGGAAGAAGCCCTGATGGGACTTTCATTTTTTTTTTTTTTTCAAACTCACCTCTAGCTTTTATAGCTTTTCAGAAAAACCTTTACTTTTGAAGCTCTTGCTCTGGGACTTTTGAAATGATGCTTTCTGTCCTTGAAAGGATTGAGGAATACTTTATTTTTTCTTCTTGGTTGTCTTGCTTAGGTAATGTGATCAGAGAATTCTTTTAACTGCATTCTTATAAGGATTCTCCAAAGTATAATTATGCGGTTGAGAAATTATATTGCAATATAAGGGTGTTAACTAGACCCCTAGAATAGTCTAAAGGTAATGGAGTTGATAAATTCTACTCTTGTCACCTCCACTTCCTCTATGCCAGCTGGTGAACCTGAAAAATCCAGGCTTGTAATAAAGCCTCTCCATAAAAAGCATCACAATAGAGAGAAGCTTTTGCTTTTCTATGATTGGATATTAATTTCCTCATATTCTTAATGCCAATGCAGAACCGTGGAATATGACAAAATATAAAACCAACTTCTAGTGGAAACCGGTTTGGCTCAGTGGATAGAGCGTTGGTCTGCGGACTGAAAGATCCCAGGTTCGATTCCGGTCAAGGGCATGTACCTTGGTTGCAAGCATATCCCCAGTAGGGGGTGTGCAAGAGGCAGCTGATCAATGATTCTCATCTATGTTTCTAATTCTCTATCCCTCTCTCTTCCTCTCTGTAAAAAATCAATAAAATATAAAAAATAAAACCAACTTCTAAATAGCAGTGTATCATGTAGTGATAATTACAATTGATTGGTGACAGGTAATTTCCCCAAAGTGGTGCAAAGTTACTTCAAACCAGAGAGAACTTCTGGCCAGGCTCAGCCGATTCCACTGATGAAGTCTGCCAAAGACTGACTTCTAAACATTAAGCAGACATCCACAACTGGTGTGTGGTCTTTTTTGTTTGTTTGTTTTTTTGTGGGGTTTTTTTGGCCCATTTTATTCTTCCCTGCCCTCCAGTCTTTATGAGGGCACCTGAAGCAAGGGAACCCTCTTCAGAGCAATAAAGCCTTTGAGAGGAAGACAACAGTTATCAATACCCACTTCACACAAAATGCTCTTAAATATCTTGTCGTTTTTAACCCTCATAATACATCAAGTAATTCGGATTTGCTTCCTCCCATGGAGACAGGGAAGCTGAGGCTCAGAGAGTAATTTTCCCAAGACACACCATTTGGGATAAAACTTGGCTACACACTTGCATTTGTCAGGTCTCAAAGCCCGAGGTCTTTGGACTCCACACCATCAGCCCAGAAAATCCAACTCAGGAAAATTGTGACTTACGAAAAGCAGCCAATCCCAACATGGGAACCAACAGGGCATAATTCCATTTGCTTCCATCACCCCCATCATCTCTGTAATTGGGCCGGATATTCCAATTTGGGGGGTCATTTAAGTTATTCATGAAGATAAACCTGAAGTAAATAAATAAAACCATTAGCCATACAAAAGGAATAAAACACATCTGTCATAATTTTATCATCTACTTGGTTCATAGGAATCCTTTTTTTTCTTCCAGAAAATTTTATTCAGACTATGAATGTGTTGCACATCACTTGAATCTTATAGGATCAAAAGAAGCAAGACCTCAGATGAAAGCAGCTCACAGTATTGTGGGGACAGAGACATGTCTCAATAACTCAAATAACGAGTAGAAGGAGGAAAGTTTCTTAGTTATAAGTTTTTACAATTATGGTGGTACATTAAGACATATAACTAGGAAGGTGTCAAAAGCACTGGCTGCTTTAGGGAAGGTGACAGGCATTGAGGGCTGAAGCCCAGCGAGGGGAGGCCTCATTGGTCCTGAACTCCAGCTTACAGGTACCCTTCTGCCTGAAGCTGGTTTATCTGCATCACCAAACTGGGGCCTCCTGTTAATATGCACTTGGCAGGTTGGGCATTTTCACAAAATATAGTCATGAGGGCTTTCGGCCTGTTTCTGTGTTGACTAATGTGGCAAATCATAGACTGATGACAAAAGAAATAGTCAAAGGATAGTTAAGAAAAAAGATATTCAACCCGATTTTGAAAAATCTTAGTGGGTTTTTCAATTAAATACTTACCATCTAAAAACTTAAATTCTATCTGGCAATAAAGAAGTGCCAAAAAACATGGCTCAGGACTTCAAGTTAAGTTTATGGTAACCATGGAATAAAAAAGTTATCTGAAAGTTCTGAACTACATGACTTTCAAAGGACGTGGGAAATGCAGTGTTAATTCCTTCGGGGCCTGTGGCCTGAGGAAACATGTAATTCTAATAAAAGCAACGTAGTCCTACATATAGACACACGTTAGGCACAAATATATTCTTTATGGCCTTATTTACTAGTAGCAAAAATTTGGAAACAGCCTAAATATCAATTGGAACGGTCCCTTGTAAACTAACTCAAAATAATTCGAAATTATGTTGCACACAACTGCGCCCCAAAAAAGATCTTAATAGTAATCGAAAATGATGTGAAAAGCGGGATGATGATCACACTACTTCTGAGTATGCAATTATTATTCCCCCGCCACTTCCTTCCACAAAAAGCCTGACATAACGAAAAAACAGAAACACGCTCTGGACCGCTGGTGACATCCATCAGGCGAGTGCGTAAAGGCACCTAAGCCCGGAGCCCTACCGGACCCCGGCCGGGTCTTCAACCCACTCCACCACGGGGGCTTCCACGGGAGAGACTCGGCCCGCCCCGCCCGTCCCCTCTGCCCCCTCTCCCCCGCAACACAGCCCAGACTCCAGCTCCCCGAGGGCGCCGAATCCCCGACCTACCCCCTGGCCGGGAGCGCCGAAAGCCGAACCTCAGTACAGCAGGGTCCACGAACCCTCTCTGCGCATGCGCGGTGCCCCTACACACGCCCCCTCCCCGGGTCCCCGCGAGGTGCGTGCGCAGGCGCAGTTTCTCTTCCAGCCTGGACCCCGGGGGCAGCGTGGTGCGCAGGCGCAGTGTCCTCCCGCCGCGACCCAGGGCGCAGGGACGTGCGCAGGCGCGGCTGGCCGCGAGGACTGGGGACGCCGTGCAGCGGAATCTGGCCATGTCGGGGCTTCGGGCTGCGTCGAGGCTGCTGCGCACCAAACGCCTGGCGCTAACCGGGAGGGTGAGTCAGGACCGCGGGCTGGGCCCGGTCCGTCTGGGCTGGGGCGGGCGGGGCCGGGGTCTGGGCCGATGGTCTCTGCAGGCCGGGGTGGAGCGGACGCAGGAACCCCGCGCCCCCGTCTCTGATGTGGACGGGCTGGGAACTGCCTGCCGACCGGAGCGGGTAGGACCCATGGGGCCGCTCGAGAGGGTCGGGCGCCCTCAGGGGGGCACCTGGGCTTTTTCTGTAGCCGGCCCAGCCGCGTCCCCGTGAAGGTCAAACGATCCCGCGAGCCTTCTCGGGATCCCCTTCTGTCCGGGGTGTGGGTGCCTCTTGGCTCTTGGGCCAAGGTCTCCTGGCCTCCGCACCCCAAACCCGCACTTATAGGAGAAGAGGAGGTGGGTCTGCCCAAGGTCACGCCGGCAGGTAGCGGCCTGTGGGTGCCCCAGGCCTCGGAATCCCCGAAGGCCCGGAGAACCCGGGTGGAGGCGGAACCTTGCATTTGGCCGAAGGCGCCGGCAGGGCGGGGCCCTCTGCCTACAATCTGGTCTGATCGCCGCAGCCCCTCAGTGGGGCGACGTTGCCGCCGCGGCCCCGGGGGGCCGGTGGCCGGTGGGGTTCGAGCTGTGCTCCCGGCAGGCTCCGTCTGGGCCGCCCGAGGCGGGTGCGGTGGAACGCGTGTCTAACAGCCGCACCTCCGCTTGCCTTGCACCTGTTTACAAAGCCGGGGCCCCTTTGGAGAAAGCGCAGATGGTGTGTCCGCACCGAGGCCCTTTGTTTTGGGTTTTGTATCGTGGCCTTTGTGCACACGTTTGAAAATTGGATGAAGAATGTCGACACACTAACTGCAAAACCACGTTGGGAGAGGACGCTGGGACGTCCGTTTTCCTGCGATTTCTGCCGAGGCCCAGGCTCAGCCTGTCGGGTCAATAGGGTCACCTGCAGAGGAATCCTCTGCTCTCGGTGCTGGTGTGTCAGATGTGCGCTTTGCAAGTACATCTTCAGAGTCGATCTTTCATGGATTCTGTAAGCACACTAAATGTAGAGGATTTAGTTGTTTGGTTCTTTTAAATTAATTTGTTCACCCACCTACTTAGTAATGTAATTACAACGTAGGAACCCAACAGTGTCTACACGACTTATGCCTGTAATTATACCTGCAGTTGTCTTCTTGAAAGGTATATACTAAAAATTACGTTACTATGAGAGGATTTAGTCAGCCATCCATCCCATCCTGCCAACACCAGAAAGTATTTTTTATTTTATTTTAGAGAGAGTGAAGGGAAAGGAGGAGGGGGAGAGAGAGAGAAACATTCTCACCTCCCCACCCCTCATATCCTCCCAGATGGGCTGGTCCAGCTAAGTGCCCTTTACTGAGAATTGAACCCTGCCACCCTTTGGTCCCAGGGTCTACTCTCTAACCCCTGAGCAACGGGCCAGGGTTAAAAATACTTTAAATACTTTGCAATGTGCTTACTGATCAGAGGACCCCCCCACCCTCCATTTTGGGCTCTAAGACACAGGTAGGGAGTTCAAGTGAAGTTCATAGTCTGGAGTATTTTTAGTCAGCCAAACATGAGCAGCCTTGTAAGTTCTTCTTGTTAGGTGAAATGGCAGATTGGTAACTGGTGGTGATTGAAAAAGGGCTAATGTGTCTGTCCTTAACCCTTGTGCAGACTAAGACCCTCCAGCCTGTGGAATTTCCTTCACCTATCACCTATCCTTTGTTAGTTTATGAAAACAAAAGTTGTTCTTTATCCAGGCTGGACTAGAATTCTGTCTCCAGCTTATAGCTGAAAGTAGATGAGGTTCTCTTTTAAATATATATATATATATATATATATATATATATATATATATATATATATATTATTGATTTTTTACAGAGAGGAAGGGAGAGGGACAGAGAGCTAGAAATATCAATGAGAGAAAAACATCAATCAGTTGCCTTCTGCACTTCCCCCACTGGGGATGTGCCCACAACCAAGGTGCATGCCCTTGACTGGAATCGAACCCAGGACCATTCAGTCCGCAGGCTGATGTTCTATCCACTGAGCCAAATCTCATCCAGTCAGGGCTGGATGAGATTCTAAGCACAAGAGGTCAGAGTGTGTAAACCTTCGGTATTGACTTGATTGGAAGTGATGTCCATTGAAGTCAGCTGTTAGCTGCCAGCACTTTACTTACCTTCATTCTCTCCTTGAATTTTCACCACTCTCTATGTTCAATTGTACTATCTCTATGTTGCCATCATGTTTACAACTACCTAAACTCTCCTGTGTTTAGGTAGTTGTAAACATGATGGCAACATAGAGATAGTACAATTGAACAAGGTAGTCCTACAAAAGACTTCTTGATGAAGATATGTTTTCCCTATGGAAATTAATTCTTCCCTCAAGCAATATATTTATTGGAGATTAAGGTTGGCAAGAACAAAAGTGTCAATTTGACTGAACAAAAGAAAGAGAAATTTATGATGCCAACTGAGACATGTCCATGGAAAGTAGATGATGAGGATAATTTGAATCAAGTCCACAGAAGTTTTCTTTATTTCATTTTGTACAGTTCTGTGGTGTTTCCAAGTCATTTAATATTTGCAGATGCTTTCAAGTTACAAAATTATCAAATCTGTTTTGCCTTTATTTCCTTTCCAGTTGTCCTAATGGACTGACACAATTAGAACTGCCCAGACTTTGAGACCCTTGTCCTATCTAAGTTAACTTATTTTCTTTGCATTAATATGTTTTAATGATTTTGTTTTTTTCTTGCTGTAATAAGAGTGCCAGTCCCATAGAGATTTGTATTGTGTGTGATGTTTTTCCTGATTCACTTGAATAATTATGGTTTGGATTTTACATATAACGTGGATATTCATCTTACTTTGGAGTCCCAGAGATTTTTTCCCCCCCAAGGATCCTTAAATAGTAGGGAAAGTACAGGATCTGGAGCTAGCTGGGCAGACTCAAGTCCAAAGCTCAGGTACCCTGGATAGATTCAGTTTCTCTGTGGGGTAATGAGGACTCTGATGTAATATGTGAAATCTCTGTGTGTGTTCATCTGAGCCCACAGCTTGCAGCCTGTGCTCAGTAACCTTGTAAACTACAATATATTATAACTTGTCAGCTGTATTTTAAGCACTCTTGTTTTAATTTTTTTTTAATTTTTAATGGAAATAATTATACATAGTTGTCCAAAAAAAAGAAGAAAAAAAAAAAGAAAGAAAGGTCAATGAGTGCAGAAAGCCTTACAAATAAAAAGGAATAAGATACCCCTCCCCCCCTTTTCCACAGACCTGGTCCCCAGTGGAATCAATTCTGAGTTGTTTCTGGTATTGATTCTTGGTATTTACCTCCTTTTCTTTAGCTAATATGCAGGTGCATTTTTATCCATTTTAGACATGGACTTTTGCTGGTAAGGATTTTGTTTACTTGAACTATAGTCTTAGCTCTCCCAATATAGTTATGCAACCACTTTTCAGATCCTCTATTCAATATAGTCTATTGGCTTCTTTTGTAATTGTATAGATTGTACTTGCAAATGAGTTTCTTGTTCATCCTTCATAGGTTCTATTAATTAATGGAAATTAATTCTTCCCTCAAGCAATATATTTATCTTCTTACTGTGCTCTCCCTTTTACCTCCTAATTCAGTCACCCATACCCGTGGTCAGCAAACTGTGGCTCGCTAGCCACATGCAGCACTTTGGCCCCTTGGGTGTGGCTCTTCCACAAAATACCACACCCTGGGCGAGTCTATTTAAGTGGTGTTAGAAGAAGTTTAAGTTTTAAAAATTGGCTCTCAAAAGAAATTTCAATCATTGTCCTGTTGATATTTGGCTCTGTTGACTAATGAGTTTGCCTACCACTGACCTATACTATTAAAAGGTCTGAGTGTTCCTTTTAATTGTACGTTAGGTAGATTTCCCCATTATTCATGTTGCCCTGTTAGAAATTTTTTGATGGTTCTCTTAAAAAGAACATTAATTAGTAAGTGGCACAAAATTTGTTTTATCTAAAGACAGAAATTGGGTTACAAATGAACTCTCCAAATTCTACAATCAGGTTTAAATACAAAAGTTAGTGTTACTATTTTCCACAGGGAGACAATGTGATCATTTGTTAAAGATTTCATTATAGTAGCTGCCCCTTTTTAAGTATGTTTATTTAACATGAACATCCAAACAAGAAGTACTTAGGGAATCGCACTGTTCTGTTTTAACTTTGTATCACAAAATGTACTGTTCTTATTGGTATTATTATTTATATCTATAGTATAGATATTTAATTACCTATATCTAAAATTATTTCAGTGACTTAATTCTTTGTTCAAATATGATTTTGCCATTTAAAAAATTAAATTGAAGCAGAGAAATTTTGTTCTTTTTAATAAGTTCAACTCTATTTAAAAATACCAGAAGCTACTTTGTAATTGGAGCAATGAAAATAAACTCAAATATGTGTGCCATCATCATTCAGTCTCAAAGTTAGAGGGAGCTTTAGAGGTCGGAGCCACCTCTGACTTCTCACCGGTGGTCAAATCATCCAGCCTCGTCTGAGTCCTTTCACCTTAGAGCAAAGTCCACTAGTTCACAACAGCTCAGGGAGAGTTCATTTTGTATTTTGTCAAATTCTCTTCCCTGTAATCCCCACTTGTTTGCCCTATAAATAATTTTAACCCACATAGTAAATAACTTCTCTCCTAAATTGCAGAATACTCGAAGGCATCTTTCATATCCCCTTTTGTCATTATTGAATGTACTTATTGTCTAAAACTGTTCTTTAGTTTTGTTAATCCTCACCTGAGGATTTCTTTTCCCATTGATTTTTATAGAGAGTGGGAAGGAGAGAGGGAGGGAGGGAGGGGAGAGAGGAACATCCATGTAAGAGAGACAGTGGTTTGGATACCTCCTACACATGCCCCAGGGCAGGGATCAAACTTGCAACCCAGTACGTGCTTTGTCC